GGGGCAGGGGTGGGGGGGGGGGGGGGGTTGGGGCTGCCCTAAGTGGGGGTCCCTGGGAGGTCCTGTCCCCACACCCCGCCTCTCCCATATGGAGCCATCGCTGTGACAATGTCCCTCTTTCTCTTTCTTTCCTCCACCCCCTCCCTTCCGTCTTGTCCCCCATAGGCTTTGAGCCTGTGTCACTTTTTCGAGAGTCAGAATGTGGATTTTCGAGGCAAGACGGTGATCGAACTGGGCGCTGGGACGGGCATCGTGGGAATCCTGGCGGCGCTGCAGGGTGTGTGAGCTGGCATTGCGGGGGGGAGGGGAGCGGGGAGCCGGAGTGTGGAGAAGTTAATACGTGGACTCCTTGGGGGTGGGCAGAACTTTTTGAACTCTACTCAGTTCTTCCGTTTTAACTAACCCCTACTTTTCTGTGAGGCAGACAGCGCGGATTGGAGTTCAGAACATCCAGGATGGGTAAAAAGAATCAGATAGGGATTCCATGAAAAGTGCTGGAGACGCTCTGCGGTAGAAATGCATTCTGAAGAGAGAAAAGAGACCTTGGGCGTTAAACCTCACCACAGCTTTGTAGCTTCATCGTGTTAGAGTCTCTTGGATTCTTTCTTTCTCGCTTTCTTGGATTCTTCCTTCCTTCCTTCCTTTCTCTCCTTTCTTTCTTTCTTCCTTCCTTCCTTCTTTCCTTCCTTCTCTCTGTCCTTCTCTCTCTCCTTCCCTCCCTCCCTCCCCCTCCCTCCCCTCTTCCCCCTTCTTTTGTGAGGGAGTGGGGTGGAGTGTGATCTGGCCAAGACAGGCTCCCTTGTTGCCCAGGCTGGCTAAAAGCATATTACGTAGAGGAGATTAGCCTTAAATTCCTGGTTCTCTTGCCTTAATTCCCCAAGTGCTGAGATTATAGGTGTGTGCCACCATACCAAGTACAGCCTTGCTAGAATACACAAGGTTATGAATTTTGGAAGGCTAGGGTGTAATGATTATAAATGTTCATTTTAGCTGTAGGGGGTGTGATGATTGTATGTATTCATTTTAGATGTAGTGGATAATTAATCAGCTGAGACTTTGGGCAAGGAAAAAGTCAGCAAAATTGTGCTTCAGTTTTACAAAGAGCCAGGAACTTAAAAAGTTCCTTACTTTGTGGTCTAAGTCATGCAAACAGGGATGCCCTTGTTTGTAGAGACAGAGCTGGGTCACACTAAGGGAAGTCTTTGCAGATGCAGACATTAATCTTTCTATTTATTCAGTCAACATGTATTCTAAGCCTTCTGTGTGCCAGGAGTCTTGCTGGGGGCCGAGGATTTGATATGGAATAAGAAGGATCTCCTCTCTCCAAGGAACTTGTAGTCTAGTGAGGGACAACGTGAGAAGATGCTATGGCATATACTTGATGATGGCAAGGTGTGTATGGCATGGATGTGCTCTGGCCAGAGCTACCTTGACTGCCGAGGGGCTCACCAAGGGGAGCTCTGACAGATGAGGAGTTGAGGAGGGTGAGTGGATGGGCGTCAGAAGGTTATACTAAAGAGAAAGAAGCCAAGTGTGGGTTTTCATGCCTGTGATCCCAGCACTCAGGAGACAGAGGTAGGAAGATTGCTCTAAGGTCAAGGGCCAGCCTGGTTTACAGCATAAGCACCTGTCTCAGGTAGGAAGGGAGGGAGGCAAGGGAAAAAATGTGTGTGTGTGTGTGTGAGAGAGAGGGGGGGGGAGAGAGAACCTGTCTTCCCTTACTGTCAGGCCAGTGGGTACTTTTTTTGTGCCCTGTTTAGTTGCCAAGTCCAAGCCTGGAATCTGGATGCAATCTCCTATTCTCTTACCTTGTATCCCAGAAATCAACTGCCCTTGCATTCTTAACACTTGCACAACTGCCTATTCCGTATCCCACCATATTTAGTTAGTCCACTACCACGTCTTGCTCTGATTTTCTTAAGTATCTTCGTGTTTCCAGGTGGTAAAGGTTAGTACTCCCAAACTGACCCTGTCATCTTCCCCCACCAAACCTGTTTTTCCCTGCAGGCTCTGCCATCATGAAGCCACCTCCCAGTGTGGAACCTGGACATCTCCTTTGTCATGCCCCTGCTTTTCTTCCTCATACCCTGCATGTCCTGTGGTTTTTAGCTCCTAAAAATCTCTTGGATTTTCTTGTGTTTCCTCCACTCCACTCCTGGCTCCCAGCCTGAGCCACCACCATCACTTGTTCAGACTATAATAAGCAGTCAAACCGGTTGGTCTTTTTGCTTTGAGTTCTGGTCCCCACCTAGATCCTGGCTCACTCACACCACCCTGCAATCAGAATGGCTTTTTCAAAACGTGGCTCTGATCATTACACCCCACCATACCACCCTCCAAATTGGAAACCCATCCTTACTTCCTTCAGTTCAGAAGTTTAACCTGGCTACTAATGTCTTACCTCCCTCTTTAGCTTCTTTCTATGCCTCTCTCCCAGGCCTGCTCTCCTTGGGCTATTACCCTTCTGTCTACTCTACAAACCACTTTGATGTAGCCTTCCTTAGGGACTTCATGGGGGCTGCACTTTCTGTTTGAAAAGGTTTTACTGCCTAGTTAATGCAAATGTATTCTTCATTGATGTGCTCAAGTGGCCCTTCCAAGGGAAGGCGCCTTCCTCTCCACCTCCCCCAGCCCAGGCTGGTTTAGGCCCTCTTAGTACTAAACTGAGTGCAGCTGTACTCATTAGACTCACTTTAGACTGGTTTTCCCTGAGTTCAGGTGGGTCCTTGTGCACACAGCTAGCTCATCAAATTTCCTTTGCCCATTTATTCTTCCACTCTCCTAGACATATGTTTCTTTCTTTCTCTTTTCTTTTTTTGACATCTGTTTCTTAACCTTCTTATTCTTCAAACTGTGGATGTCTCCTCTGCAATTATTACCCTTATCTGATGACTATCTATCTATCTATCTATCTATCTATCTATCTATCTATCTATGCATATATATGGGGTGTGTGTGTGTGTATGATATATATGTGCATAGCTATGCTGAAATTCCTGTTATGGGGGAGGGCAGTGGCTGATCCTACATCTCCTGAGCCATTTCTCTGCTGGGGAGAGAATACATCCAGATGTTAATGTCACTGTAGTTCCTCTCCTACTGTTCTTTTCTCAGTCTACTCCTGTTAGGTATTCACTCCCTCGTGTCTCTAGCTGGGGTTGCGAGTGTCACTCCTAACCCCATGTTTTGAACTCAGGGGTCAGTTTCTAGCCCCCTCCAGTTGACTTAGCATTTGACAAGGGTACTCTTCTCTCCTTGAAAAGTCCTTTGCTTTCTGGGCCAACACACTTCTGTCTTCCACCTACATCACTGGCACACTTTCCCATTTTTTTTTTTTTAATTGGTTCCTTTTCATCCTTACAACAGAAATTTTGAGTGTCCCAGAGCTCAGGAGTAGACGTTTTGACCCCTTATTTCTTCTGGCTATCCTCCCTCCTAAGAAGTCCCATTGTTTTGTGGCTTTGAGTGTCCTCTGTATGGTTAGGACCAGGACTCTGTTTCTTTTTTTTTTCTCTCTTGTTTCTATATCCAGACTTGTTTACATAACTCATTGCCTTTTCAGTATGTTTGATGGACATTTCAAACTTCGCTCACAAATGAAATCATGCTTTTATTTCCAAGCCTGCCTCTCCCGAAGCCCTCTTCATTTACATAAGGGCCAAATGTTCAAAATCCATCCTTAATTAAAATAAAATCTCTCTCTCTCTCTTTCTCTCTCTCTCTGTGTGTGTATAAGAGATGGAGAGATAGATAGATAGAGAGAGAGAGAGAGAGAGAGAGAGAAAGAGAGAGACTCAGTTTGTTGACATTGACAGTCCCCTCAGAATATATTCAGGATTTGATTACTTCTTAGTAACTGTCACTACCAACATTTCTAACCAACATCATCTTTCCCTTGGTCACTGCAGTTGCCTCCTGACTAACCCTCCTGTTTCTGTCCTTGCCCTGCTGCAGTTTTTTTTTGTGTGTGTGTGTGTGTGTGTGTGTGTGTGTGTGTGTGTGTTCTGCCTGCATGTGTGTACCACTTGAGATCCTGGTGCCTGAAGAGGTCAGAAGAAGGTGCTGGATCCCTTGGAACTGGAGTTACAGAAGGTTGTGAGCCACCATGTAGGTCACATGATGGGAGTCAAACCTGGGTCCTCTGCAAGAGCAATAAGTGCTTGTAGCTGCTGAGCCATCTCTCCAGCCTGCCAGTTTTTTTTTCTTTTTGTTTTTTGTTTTTAAATCACAGCAGTCAAAGTACATCTCATCTCATAAGCCCTGAGTCAGTGTATGGAATCTTTCCACTTAAAGCCCCCCCCTCCCCGACCTTTCCTCATCACAGCGTCTGGCCCTTCTGTCTCCCTCTCACTCTGCTCCTGCTGGCTGTTTGTCCCTGCTGCTCCATCTTCACACCTCCCAGGCACAGTTCTGCCTCAGGCTCTCTGTACTTGCTGATCTGGTGTTTGGTGAACTTTAGCCAGGGAAAGCCACGAGGTCTGCCTTCAGGCTTTCCCCAATAATGCTTAGGGAGGATTTCCCAGGCCATCCCATTAAAGGTGTGCTCCATGCCTTCACCCTCAAGGAACTCATACCTTTTTCCTGCTTGGGCCTCACTGCAGCACATATTACAATTTGATGTATTGTGTGTGTGGTTTTTTTTTTTTTTTTTTTTTTGGAGACAAGGTCTAATGTAACCCTGGCTGACCTTATACTCCTCATCTTCTGGCCTTTACTTCCAAAGTGATGGGATTAAAGGTGTGAGCCACCAGGCCCTGTTGGTTTTTGGTTTGTTGGCAGTGTGTCTTGCCACACAGCCCAAGATAGTTTAGGACTAAGAGTCTTCATTTCCTGCCTCTGCTTCCCGAGTGCTATGATTATAGACAGGTACCACTGTGCTTGGATATTTCATTCTTTTGGTCCTGTCATCTTTTCTTGCCACTGTTTTTGTTGTTTTTCAGACAGGGTTTCTCTGTGTAGCCCTTGATGTCCTGGAACTCATTCTGTAGACCAGGCTGCCTCGAACTCACAGAGATCCGCCTGCCTTTGCCTCCTGAGTGCTGGATTCAAAGGCATGTGCCACCACTGTCCATTGGGGGGTGGATTCTTGCCTGTCTTGTTCACTGATGTATTCCAGACACCTGGCATACAGATCCATGATGAGGATGAATGAGTGAGATCTATTACTTCTGTTTTCTATACTACTAATCATGCTTCTGGTTAAGTAGTTACTTTTGTGATATTGTGAGTGTTTCTATGTCTAGAATGAAACTTTAAGGAGGCTGTAGTTTTGTTTTGCCTCCCATTGGTTGTATCCCTAGCTTTAGCAAGTACTCAGTACACATCTTTGTAATGTGAGTAAAGTATCCTGTAATACTCATCTGATCTTTACCCCAGATTCTACTCTTAAAACCTATTTCTTGGACTGGGAGTATAGATCTGTGGCTGAGTGTTTGCTTAGCACGTGAACACACTTTCTCAAGCCAAACTCTCCTCAGCATGCCATAGTCCTCATTTTGGGTCTTGACATTTTAGAACAGTGGTTCTGAGTCTTCCTAAGGCTTCCACCCTTTGATATGGTGCCTCATGTTGTGCTGACACCCCCAACCACAAAACAATTTTTGTTGCTGCTTCCTAGCTGTAATTTTGCTATTGTTATGAATCACAATGTAAATATCTGTGTTTTCTTATGGTCATTTGGGGGTTGAGACCCACAGGTTGAAATCCACTCTTCCAGGCCACAGCCTTCCTTAACTATGCCATGCCCTTTGCCTGCCAGGCCCTTGTATTCTCTACTTCGAAAGCCTCACCTGACTAACTTGTACTTGTTCTTTAGGGCTCAGCTGAGGTCACGTCTTCTGAGTTTGGGTGGGTAGGTGGGTGGGGGTGCACAGCTTGGTCTTGCCCGGGCTTTTGCTGACATCTGGTTGTTATGTGTTGGGTGGAGAGGTTGAAGATTAGCTCAGAGAGAATGTTGATGTTGTAGAATGTAGAGTAACGAGAGTGGCATGGGTGAGACTGAGGTTAGGGCAACTAAAAGCCAAAGTATGGACTTCGGGCTATCAAGACATGAGGCCTTGAGGTCTCTGGACCCTCCAGGCAGGAGTCATGAGCCCTTTCACAGTCCCTCTGACTTGGATTTCTCCTCCTTACTTTCCCTCAGGGGGGGATGTTACCATCACTGATTTACCACTGGCCTTAGAGCAGATCCAGGATAATGTCCACGCTAATGTGCCATCTGGAGGCCGGGTGAAGGTGTGTGCCTTGTCCTGGGGAATTGACCAGCATGGCTTTCCTGGAAACTATGACTTAGTGCTGGGGGCAGATATCGTGTACCTGGAACCTACTTTCCCACTGCTGTTGGGGACCCTCCAACACCTGTGTGGGCCCCATGGCACCATCTATCTGGCTTCCAAGATGAGAGAGGAGCATGGAACAGAGAGCTTTTTTCAGCACTTCCTCCCCCAGCACTTCCAACTGGAGCTGGCCCAGCGGGATGAGGACGCGAATGTCAACATCTATAGGGCCAGACACAGGGAAGTGAGACCTGCCGGACATCACCCCTTCTGTTGACCTCAGCCCCCGTCTCAGTGGAGGAATGGCCTGTCTCCAGACCCATAAACATCAGGACAAAAGAAAAGGATGGATTGTCTGTCTTCTTTCTCCCCCTCTAGCAATTTGTTCCCCTAGATATTCCTGGGAAGGCTCTGTTAAAAAATTAGCAGAGCCCTAGAAGCATTGAGTTTAAAGCCCAACACTTGTCTTCAGCAGAGGAGGATGAGAAGGTATTCAGGATATTTAGGGAAAAGGGAAGAAGCAGGGTATGAATACTGGCTACAGAGAGGCTGTCACTGATCACTTCCAATGTTTTAAACAGAATGGACTTTTTGTTTGTTTGTATTTTGAGACAGGGTTTCTCTGTGTAGCTTTGGCTGTCCTGGAATTCTGTAGACCAGGCTGGCCTCAAACTCAGAGATCCATCTGCCTTTGCCTCCTGAGGGCTGGGGTTAAAGATGTCATTACCCTGGCTTCAGAATGGAGTTTTAAAAAAAGCACATTCTTGGCCAGGGGTGGTGGCACACACCTTTAACCCCAGAACTCAAGAGGCAGAGACAGGCGGATCTCTGGGAGTTCAAGACCAGCCAGAACTATATATTGAGACCCACACACAAGAAAGTCGAAACCAAAACCAAAAAACATCCTTTAACATTTTTTTAAGGGTGAGAAAAAAAAGAGCATTAATCATGTCTTCACACCCCCAAACATGTAGCTATTGAGGGAGAGCTGGTACCAAGACACCTCAGAGCACCTGTGTCTTGCCTGTTGTAAGAAGACTCTAAGACAAGTCCTCCTAGACCTGAGTCTGGGGACAAACACCAGAGCTGTCCCTTTGGGCTGTGGCTTCTTCATCCTTTGCAAAGTTCAAGGCCTGATCACAGAATATCGTGTACCCAACTCTGGCTTGAGTTCTAGGTTCTTCTGACCTCTTCCAAGTTCAGTTTCCCTTCCTAACTTGTTTTACCCTCACATCTCATCTCTTCCCTCAGAGCTGTCTGGGTAGGGCTCTTTTCACTTACTGTTTAGGCACACAGTTGTCTCTGGTGTGTCCACCACCACTTTCTTAACCTCCAAACCATTCTTCAAATTCTTGCAGCCTTCCAAAACCTGCTGGATTTAGTTTCTACTGCAAGAAGGAACGTGTCAGCTTGGTACTCAGGCTACACCGGTGTGCTCACAAACTACTTTGTATTTCATTTCCAACTCCTCTTGTACTGCACTTTTAGCCATGCCAAAGTCCTACTCTTTGTTCCCTTCCCCTAACTCCATAGCAGCATTCCTTTCCTTTTCCCATCTTCTGATGAATTCCCTTAAAATTCACTCTTTACTTCTGGAAAAACAAAAAAAGCTCCTTTTCCTGACTCTTCTGTTTGGATGTGATTTCCTTCTTTGGGAGCTCTTTTAACTATTTAGGAACCTTATCTCGTCTTACCTGATTCTTATTTCCTCACCAATAGATAACCTCGGAGCACAGGGCTGTGGTTTATTCATCACTATCTCCCTGAAACTGGCAGCAGCTCCGGGCACACAGGTGTTCAGCAGATACTTTTGCTAATTCAGTAATTATTTATTCATTTTGTTGAAGGACCTCCAGTTCACCTCTCCAGGTGACCTTGTACGGCTTCCTGAGCCCACCTACCTACCTACTTTTGACTCCCGTTTGTTCTGAGTCATAAATGAGTACTCAATGTGGAAGTACACTGGAAATAAAGAAACATAAAATATTACCTACGTGTCTTGTGTTGTTATTTTGTGACAACGCTATCGTGCCGTTTTTTCTGTTTTACCCGCGGAGGGCCAAGTCTTTGATGATTTTTTTTTTTGGTGATATGTTTTAAAAAGCCAAGCCAAAGAGGCGATATACTCCTCCGGCCTGCAGGTGGCAGCATCCTCGCTCGACACGTTCAGGAAGGAGTTTTGGCCCTCGCGCCACGCCGTAGGCCATCGTCTCTCGCGTGCACGGAAGGGCGGGAGGGTGGATCGAGGCTGCTGGAGAGGATGTTGCTGCTGCGGTCGCTGCGCTTCTTCCCGGTCTTGTGCACCGGCCGCTCGGTGAGGGCTCCTGGCGCGGGTGCTAAGCTGCGCTCCCGGGTGTCGTGAGCGCGTCCTTCCTTCTCCCGACCCGAGCTCGGCTCCTTTTCACCGTGCTCGCCCACAGTCCCTGAGGTCTGGCCCTGCGGACATGCTCCCCCGCCTCGTGTCCAGCTGCGGCCGCTCCCGACTGCTCATCCCTCTCCTCACTCCCTCCAGGCCGGGTCTGCCCTGCTGCAGCCGTCCCAGCCATGGCACACGCTTCACGCGGGCCCCACGCTATCATCGTCTGCCTCCAGCAAGGAGCTCCTTATGAAGCTGCGGCGGAAAACGGGCTACTCCTTTGTCAACTGCAAGAAAGCTCTGGAGGCTTGTGACGGTGATCTCAAACAGGTGGGAGGAGGTGCTGTCCCACCTGGAGCTCGACCTCTACTTTTCTTTAGGGGCCACTCTGGGGAGCATAAGGTGTCCTTAACGATTGAGCCCAAAGAGAAGAATTTGGCTTAAACGATAGCTTCACCTTTCGGTTTCGTCTTCAGTTTACCCAGACTCCCAGAGTTAACTGACTGTATTCCATATTAGAGGGCTGTGGGATTTGCTGCTGCTTGCGTATCAAGTGTTTGTGTAAATTTTGAAGTTAGACGCCGGAGGACCCCTCTCTATCACACACACTGTAACTTTGTACGTTGCAATTAATCCTTTAGAGTTGTATCAGTGTTGTCTTTATAATGAAGACACTGCCATCAATCCCATAGTGGGGTTGTGAAGATTAAAGTTATACAGGCGCCGGCTACATACAGTGCCTGGTGTAGAGCATTAGTAGTAGACTAGTTTCTGTTATAGAACGTGGGAGTGCAGAAAGAATCGTTGACTTGGATATATTTTTGTTTGTTTTTCGAAACGGGGTTTCTCTTTGTAGCCTTAGCCGTCCTGGACTGACTTTGTAGACTAGGCTTGCCTCGAATTCACGGAGATCTCCTGCCTGCCCTGCCTGTTCGGATATATTCCTAATTTCTGTGACTGGCTTTTTCCTCTTTCTTTTCCATTTGTAGGCAGAGGCCTGGCTGCACAAGCAGGCCCAGAAGGAAGGCTGGAGCAAAGCGGCTAAGCTTCAAGGGAGGAAGACTAAAGAAGGCTTGATTGGGCTGCTGCAGGAGGGAAACACAACAGTATTAGTAGAAGTGAGTTGTTGGGGAATCTGTATGCTAGAGACAGCTATGTCTGGGAGTATAAGGTTTGTGGTAGATCCTTCGCCTGCTTAAGGAATCTGAGACCACAGTGGTGTTTGGAGTTCAGTTCTCAGGGCCTGTGTTTAAGTGTGGACATGCACAGCTGTCTTGATGGAAAAATGCCTAGCAACCTAATCCTTCCTAAGTGTAAATCCAATGCAGCCTTGTTACCTGGAGCTGGTAGATTTAGAAGCTAGCAGCAGGGTGTGGTGGCTCTCACCTGTGGTCTCAACACTTGGGAGACTGAGGCAGGAGGATTACTGTGAGTTTGAGGGCAGCTAAGCTACAAAGTGAAATCCTGACCTCCCCTAAAAAAAAGATAAGAAAAGAAGATTGATTGTAAAGTCAGTAGTCATATTAACTATTACTCTGTGTGTTGATGACTGATAAGTTGCAGATTTAAAGAAGGCCAGATGGCCAAGACTGGTGAAAAAGCAGACGCAAATAAGGCTACAGTAAAGTAGTGAGATAAACAAGTGATGGTAACAGTGGTTTGGAGAGTGGGCATGGTGGTGCGTGGGTGTAATTCTAGCACTGGGGCAGTAGAGGCAGGAAGATCAATTCAGGGTCATCCACAGCTACTTACTGAGTTCAAGGCCAGCCTGAGACCCTTTCACAAAACAAAAAAGGTTTGGAGTTGGAAGGGGTTAATGGATGAAGTGATTATGGTGTGTTGCATAGGCAAGTAGTGAACTGACGGTGAGTCCTTCAGGGTGTTCTGGGATCCTCTGGGGTATGCAGGTTGTTGTCGACTCCCTCCATGGCAACAGTCACTTCCCTGGTCTCTGCCTCACCAGAAGTAGGGAACTGCAGCTTTAAAACCTGAGGCCATTTTTTTCTGTTGAGTCTGCAGCTTGTCCTGTTGATATCTTGGCTTAATCTCCAACTGCAAGGCACTTTTAGAAAACTATCTGTAAACAGCTTATACAGCAGTATCCATTTGTTTCTACAGGTAAACTGTGAGACAGATTTTGTCTCTAGAAATTTAAAATTTCAGCAGTTGGTCCAGCAAGTTGCCCTGGGAACCATGTCCCACTGTCAGAGCCTAAACGATCAACTCTCCACATATACTAAAGTGAGTTTGAAGGTTTTCTCCAGCTTCCTGTTGTTGCCCCTCACCTTAGGGCCTGTCTGTCGGGAAATATTATTTTAAGGTGTGTGACTTTTGTTTATGCTGCATTTGTTTAACTCTGTGAAGCTGTGTTACTGTGCCTATTTAAAACACCTGCTGGTCTAATAAAGAGCTGAATGGCCAATAGCAAGGCAGGGTGAGACATAGGCAGGGGCTACAGAGAGGATAAAGATGAGAAATCAGGGAGAAAAGGATTGTGGAATGAGAGAGGAAGGAGGAGGACTTCAGGGGCCAACCACCCACCTACATATCCAGACATGGAGTGAGAAGGAAAGAAAAGGTATACAGGAGTAGAGAAAGATAAAAGCCCCGAGGCCAAAGATAGATGGGATAAGAAACAAGCCAAGCTAAGCTAAGGTCGGACATTCCTAACTAATAAGCCTCCATGTGTGATTTTTTTTGGGAGCTAGGTGATGGACTCCCCCAAAAGCCAAAAGACTCCAAAGAGCCAAAAGAGTAAGACATCACACTGCATCTTTCCTTTTTTGGGGTGGCCGTGTCTTTCATGCAGGTGCTGGGGATCCAACTCTCTCTGCCTTTCTTGATGACCCTGAGGAAACCCTTCCCAGATTTTGCCTCAGTAATGCTGATTTCTAATCACAGCTCACTTCTCACTTCCTGGCCAGACAGCATCAACTGTCCCCTAAAGCAAAGCTTTCAAGGCAGTGGCTCTGGTCTCTTGCTAATCACAAGCTGATTCTTCAGCCCCAGCTGATCAGAAACCACAGAATCTTAATTAAGAATATCATACGTTATAGGACTAATAGTCTCTAAAGGAACTCTCAAAAGATAAGAGAATCTTTCTTGTTGTTTTTGTTTTGTTTTTCGAGACAGGGTTTCTCTGTGTAGCTTTGGAGCCTGTCCTGGAACTCTTGGTAGACCAGGCTGGCCTCGAACTCACAGAGATCCTCCTCTTGCTTCTGCCTCTGCCTCTGCCTCCCGAGTGCTGGGGTTAAAGGCTTATGCCACCACCGCTGGTTTAAAGGTGTTTTTATTACATTGTTCTTATTATGGTATATTTGTGTGTGCATGTGCGTGTGTAGGTCGGAGGTCATCTTAGAACTCATAGTTCTGTCATTTCACACGTGACAGCTCAGGTGGTCTGGCTTGGTACCTAATGCCTTTATCCGTGGAGCCATCTCACTGCCCCCCTCTTACTCCCTTTTGAATCTCATTATTTTTTCTTATATAAAGTTTACATTTATTTGTTTGTATGCACATGGGTGCCCACAAAGGTCAGAAGATGATGCTAGAGTTACAGATGCCCAATATGGGTGCTGGGAACTGAACTCAGGACCTCTGGAAGAGCAGTCAGTGCTCTTAACCTCTGAGCCATCTCTCCAGCCTTGAATCCCATTCTTTCTTTTTCAAGATTTTATTTTTATTTTATGTGTATGAATGTTCTACCTGTATAGTGCCCTATGTGTGTGCAGTGCACTCAGAGGCCAGGAAGGGCACTGGATCCTTTGGAACTGGACTTATAGACAGCCATGAGCTGCCATATAGGTGCCGGGAATTGAACTCAGTCCTCTGGAAGAGCAGCCAGTGCTCTTAACCACTGAGCCTTCTCTCCAGCTCCTCCAGACCCCATTCTTACCTACTTCTGTAGATAAGCAGGGTCATTGGGTCATCATTTGACTTCCAAGTGTTTCTTGTTACAAAAGTAAGTGTTAATGTATGTTTGTTTCCAGTGTAGATGGTGACAGGTTGACTTGGTTTTTCATTTGATGTCTGTCCTGGAAACAGTTCACAGGAGTTCATAAAGATCTTTCTTTGTTTGAGACAGTGTCTCGAGAAGGCTTGGCCAGCATTAGCCACAGTGTGTAGCCTCTGCTAGCCACTAGCTTCTCATCTTGCTGCCTCCTCCTCCTCACATGCTGAGATTAAGGCATGTTCCACCATGTTCACTATTCCTTTGTCTTTTTTTTTCTAGCTCCATAGTATTCTGTTGTGTGCATGTGCCATGGATTATTCAGCCAGTCCCCTGTGCTTGGGCATTTAGGCTGTTGGCAAAATCCAATGATTAGAAGTAATTGCTCAATGAATAATCTTGTGTATATGTTCTTTTAAAAAATTCATACTTTTGTATCTTTGAATGTTCATTGTCAAGCTGGTTGTGATGCATATCGGTAATCCCAGCACTTGGGAGGCACAGGCAGTAAGATTTCTAGGAGTTTGAGGTCAGCCTGGGCTACAATGTGAGTTACAAGCTTTTCAGGATTACAGAATGTGACAGTAATGAAAAAGGTGTGTCCTCATGTCCCCAGGCCTAGACCCACAGCGTCAGGGGTTAAGTGCTCAGCTGGAAATTACCCAATCCTCTCCTGCTCGCGCATCATCACAGGTTCCTGGCAACACCCCCCAAACCCACTAGTGTTGATGTTTAATGATTGTGTAAGATACTGGTCCCAGTTTCTAGGAAGTTCTAAGAAGGCAGGCTAAGTATGAAAGCGGAATGGAGTTGGGGGCGGTGCAGCAGTAGAGTAAGATTCACAAGCTTGATGATGCTATCGATTTTTAGCATCCTTGGCTTAGTAGCAGCTTCATCTATTTATAGATGGTCCTCTTAGCTGTTTTCCCGGACCTAAGCTCTTTGTGCCTGTTTGATTTCGGCACACAGCGCCAGCTCACACTTATCTCCTGTACTTAGGGCTTCCTGAACTCCTCTGAGCTTTCCGAACTTGCAGCTGGGCCCAACAGAGAAGGCTCTCTCAAGGATCAGCTGGCCTTAGCGATTGGTGAGTATCCAAAGATTCTGGAAAGGGGAGGTTAAAGTCTGGTTTTCTTGGTATCTTTGGTGCCCCTCCAAATTTCATTCGATAATTGTGATCTGAGTTCAGGAGTTGGAGACAGGTGGTAGGAGTGAATATGATAGAGACAGGTCATGTACTTATGTGGGATTCTCAATAGTAAATAGAAAATTACAAGCTCATGCACCTCTAAGGGCACGAGTATGTGAGGATGGGTGCAGAAGACACCCTGAAAACCCAAAGGAGGCACCATCCCCAAGCAGTAACTGGTTAGTATATCGAGGGAACTGGAGTTCTGGTACACTCAGAATCCTGAATTACATAAAGGAATTTATGTTTATAAACTAACCCTCATGGTTCTTAATGGTTTGCAACTAGTTAAAATTATTTCATCACTGTGCTGGCTAAGATGAGGCAAAGATGAGACGGCTCTTCAACTTCCAGGTGACCACTTCTGTACATGTTATAGGGAAAAGTACAATGAAGGTGAAAAAGAAAATTTAAGGGGTTGGAAGATGGCTCAGTAATTAAGAGCCCGGGCTGTTCTTCCTGAGGACCCTGGTTTGATTCCCAGCACCAGCTTGGTGGCTATTGACCCTCTGTAACTCCAGTTCTAAGCGATTCTGGCTTCCAAGGGCACTGCATGCATGGTGTTCACAGACAGACATGCAGTCAAAACACCTACGCATAAAATAAAAATAAATCTTTTTTCTAAAAGAAATTTAAGGTCGTCATATTTAGGAATTATACCGTGAATTTATGAAGGCATATCACATGTCTGTAGAAGCCACTTTGGGGGAATCACGCCCGGTCACTGTGGGAGCATCATGGGGATCTTGCTTTCTCTTTTTCCATAAGTCCTGATGGAGGGAGGCAAACGGTTGTAATTGTTGGGGATTTTCTTGTTATCTGCAGCTTCTAGTGAAGGCACAGTTCTGTTTTTACAAGGTAACCTCGTAGTTAATGTCTAGTGAGTCATGGGTGAGCCACCAGGCTAACAGCTGTGTTAAGGCCTGGGAGAAATGGGGGTCTTGCCCTTGTCAGCTTCTGACAATTAACTGTTGGGTAGAGCCTATCCCTTACTGTTTTTTATTTTGGCTTCCCTTGGAAGGGGATCCCTGCAGGAAAAGGAGAAAACTAGAATCTGCTTTTGGTTCTCATGAGGTTTTGAGAATGTTATCTTTGTACTTTTGATGTTCAGAAGTTGAAACTGTCAGGTGACTGGAGTTTGGATTTCCTGGGGCTTTTGGTTATAGACCCTTCCCAGACACTGTTGGTGATGGGAGTTGTGTGTATCTGTTGTGGCTGTGTTTTCAAGAGAGTGATTTGGTGGGGAGAAAATTCACTTAACTGCTTTGGGGTCCACTTTGAGTTGTAATTCCAACTCTGCCACATACAGGTGGGTGTGTCACTTGACTTCTCTAAGCCTGGGTGTAGCCTGATGAGAGTAGCCACATTCTTAGTGCCCGATATGCATGAGCCACATAACACATGCTCTGTGCGTGTCGCCTTCTTCATTTCTCACAGTTACCCTGGAAGGTACATAGTATCATTACCATGGTATAGATGAGGAAACTAAGGCAGTTGATAAATGCCGTAGGTCACAGAGCCAGGAAGAGGCCAGCGGCCTGGTCTTAACTAGAGCATTCCTCTGGGGACTCTGCTCTTCTCCCTCCTCCCCATCCTCCTTAAATACAAGCTGAGGCTTGTGTCTTTCATCTCATTGCAGATGTACAGCACGTACAGAAGGGTCACTATGCACACTTGGCCTCGTTGGTGCTACTATGGTCATCACAATCCAGTGGTGGTTGTTTCTTGTCTTTGCTCTCTTGTAGGGAAGCTGGGAGAGAACATGATTCTTAGGCGGGCTGCCTGGGTGATGGTGCCATCTGGGTTCTATGTCGGCTCTTACGTGCACGGAGTGACGCAGAGCCCCTCGCTGCACAACCTGGTTCTGGGGAAGTACGGGGCCCTGGTCGTCTGCCAGACCTGTGAGCAGAGTGCAAACCTGAAGGACGTGGGCCGCCGCTTGGGGCAGCATGTGGTGGGCATGGCCCCGCTCTCTGTTGGCTCCCTGGATGATGAGCCTGGAGGAGAGACTGAAACCAGAATGCTGTCACAGCCGTACCTGCTGGACCCTTCCATCACCCTGGGACAGTATGTGCAGCCCCAGGGTGTGTCTGTAGTCGATTTCGTGCGCTTTGAGTGTGGGGAAGTCGAAGAGGAAGAGGCAGTGGAAGCCAAATAGGTTTTTGGCCCAGGTGGGACTATTTATTTTTAGATCTGGATTTCCTTATAAAAAGTTGTTTTCTAAACCTCTTCAACCCTTGAATCTGTTTTTTCTTTTTAGTTTATAATGAAGTCATATACTGGTGGGTAAAGTTGTTAAATAGTTATGTAATAAAGTAGAGTTTTTCTCATTGGCATAATACTGGATTTAACTACTTTTGAGATTTTGAAAAACTGTATTGTCGAGCACATGCCAGGCATGTGCGGTAAGCCCTTAGCCCAGCAGGCCATTGCCCCAGTCCCCATTGTCACTCTATCACACTGTTCCTTAAGTTTCTTACACTCTCTCTTGTTCCCATGACAGTTTCTAATTCTGCTTCATTCTATGACATTTGGGCCCTGCGTCTTCCCTGGGGCTTCCCCTGTAGTATTACCCCTGTAGTCAGGATTTCATGTTATTGCTGTGCACTAGAGTTGTCTGGAAGATGGCCCATCTGCTGATGTCTACAGCATGCTCTCTGAACTGGTACACACACTAGTGTGTACCCCTGAAATGGGTGTGGGTAGCTGGGCCTGGGTTTCCTGGGTGGCTGTGAGGCAGGTTTTGACATTCTTGTGCCAGGGACCGGAAGGACAGTGATTCAGTTCACAGCTCTCAACACTGCTATTTATTTGCTTTTGATGCTGGGGATTGTACCCAGGGCCTTGGGCATATTGCTGAGGTAAGTGTTTTACTGCTGTGCACTTTCCTTTTTAAAGATTTGTTCTTATTTTATGTGTTTGAGTGTTTTGTCTGCATGCATTCATCTGCACGGTGTACATGCCCGGTGCCTGCTTGAGGTCAAAAGAAGACACTGGATCCTCTGGAACTGGAGTTACAGGTGTTTGTGAACCATCATGTGGGGGCTGGGAACTGGACCTGGTCCTCTGCACGAGCAATAAGTGCTCTCCACCTGAGCCATCTATCTCTCCCGCTGTACACTGAGACTGGGTCTTTGTAAGTCACTGAGCTTGGCCTTGAATTCACACCGTAGCCCAGGGGGCCTTGACCTGTGCCTGCCCCAGCTGGGCTGGAGACTGGAGTTTACAGGTTTGTGAACCAGGCTTCAGCATTGCCTGTGTACTTTCTCATCAGTGAAATGCCATTCCCACGACAACTAAAGTCACCCTAAGAAGGAACCCTGGAGGGGCTGGAGAGATGGCTGGGCAGTTAAGGTGGCACTGAGTTCAATTCCCATCAACCACATGGTGGCTCACAACTACCTTGAATGAGATCTGGTGCCCTCTGCTGGCCTGCAGGCAGAAGACTGTATACATAATAAATAAAATCTTTAAAAGAAAAAAGAAAAGAAAAAAGAAACTTTTCTTTCCTTCCCTTCACCTCCTCCCTCCCTCCCTCCCTCCCTTCTTTCTTTCTTTCTTTTTTAAAAAAGAAGGAACCCTGGAGAGGACGCTGATATGCTCACATGACCTCTTTATTTGAAAAATTGAATATGTTCTAGCACGTGGTAGATCCAGGTGGGCATTTGGAGTCCGGCCTTCAGTGAGTGTGCAAGGAACTCCAGGGTTTGGTGGGGGCGGCTACGGGGTGTAGTTTAAAGCAAATGTGGTTCCTGATGCACTGAACGGTGTAAGCTCAGTTTCTGGTTCTTTATCTCAACCTGTGTACATTCCTGCTCTCTGCTGAGGCCACAAAAGCTGAAAAGAGTAGTCAACATTCTAGTGTACTACAACCAAGGAATGCAAGGGCGGATGAAAAAGGAAAAAGCATGCTGGGATAAAGCAGCTGAATGTCAGGCTCATCTGGTGTATGGCTTTTTGGCTGATGTTGGCACTGCGTGCTTGCTCTCTTCCATGGTTGGACAATGGATAGACGTCCTGCTTTAGAAAAGCCCCTTTTCTTTCTTCAGCTGGAGCTGTTTCCAGCCAGGCAGAGCAGTAAATTGCCCTCTTGTCATGCCAAATACAGATGCAAAGTCTCGTTCCGAGAGGTAATTCTAAGAGAGAACAAAATCTGTAGTGAGAAGGAAGGCAGGGCATTTCATTAATGCCAACAGGTGAGGCAGGTGCTCGGGAAGGAGGCCTGGGGCAGGTGGAGGAGCTACATGGCTTTGTGCTTGCCTCACTTGCAAGGGGTCCTGCCTGGCTTTGAGCCCTAGAGCCACAAACAGTAAACATGCGGCTCAGGCAGGACCTGGAAGAAGCATCAAATGATGTTCAGGAGGACTGTAAGCAGACCTAAATTCTTCATTGGCCGTGGAGTCTCACTGGGCCAGTGGGAGAAATGACTGAGCTTACCGCTCAGCCCTGGATCCTCGCCCCACAGGCAGCGAATGGAGTTTTAAGTTATGGGTGGATTGTAAACATTTGATTTTGGAAGGATGGAGAACTGAATGGAGTGCTTTTTGCTTCATGCCCTTAACTGTCATTCTTACTGAATACTCACTTTTGGTGCTAGGGATTGAACTTGGGTCGACTCTCTGAGGGGCCTGAGAATGTTCTGCCACTGCACTGTCCCCCTAAACCCAGAGAATTTTTTATTTATTTATTTATTTATTTTGGTTTTTCGAGACGGTTTCTCTGTGGCTTTGGAGTCTGTCCTGGAACTCGCACTTGTAGACCAGGCTGGTCTCGCAGAGATCCATCTGCCTCTGCCTCCCGAGTGCTGGGATTAAAGGCGTGCTCCACCAAAGCCTGGCTCGGCTCCGAGAATTCTTAAGGTGTAAGATTGAGTGGATCATACCACTTCAGTGTCCATGCTGAGGTCGTTAAACTACGACCCTTACTTATTATTTTCTGAAGCAGCATCTCACCATAGCCCAGGCTGTTGTAAAACTCACTATATAGGCCATACTTACTTGGAACCTATGGTGACTCCCCTGCCTCAGTCCCCCTTTTGCTGGGGTTACAGTCATGAGCCACCAATCCCAACTGACCTGTGGCCTCTGCTTCTAAGAACACTGTAGTCTAGATGCTTACGACTGGGTCTTAACATCTTAAGAGTATCCAGAGGCCTTTAACCAGTTCATTCATTCATCTGTCCATTCAACACAAATATATTAATCCATAAAACCTAAAACATGACAGTGAGTCCAAGGGGAGTGTGTGTTGCAGGGAAGGAGTGGTTAGGGAAATATTAGGAAACTGGCAGTCAAGAAAGGCCAACCGGAGCTGAACTCCAAATGACAAGGGGCGGGCTCTGAGGTATTTTAGGAGCAGAGAGCTCTCATGGGATTGCCAGCAAGCATAACGACTCAGGGCTGGTGTAAGCATGCTCTGGGGATGGAAAAGCAGGCACTAACTGAAGGCTGTCAGAGCCCCCCCCCCCAGGGGCAGGGCAGACTGGGGGTGGGGATTGGGGAGCCATTGAAGGTGTATTAAAGTTTTCGGTTACATTTATTTAGTGTGTGTATATGAGGGGGCATGCGTTTGGTTTGGAGATGAGACAAACTGTGGGATTCAGTTGCCTCCTTGCAGTACGTGGGTCCTGGGTGCTTAACTTGTTAAGTTTGATGGCAAATGCCTTTACATTATGAGGGGTCTTACCAGCCCATGAGGTGTTTTAAGATCGGCGTCGTATGCTCCTGAACGCTCCCTGGCTGTTAATGAGATTATGCCAGGGGAGGATTTGGGGAATGGTGTGGAAACAGGTTAGTTCACAGTGGTGCATTGTAGCTGGACTGGACTAACAACAGAAAGGCGAAGGGCACAGAGATGTTACTGGGTGGATTCCTTTGGGAGTAGGAAACATTCAAGGAAGAGTTTGACTTCAGTTGACTCAGTAGCACAGATGCCCCTTGAGTGTCTGCGGTGTGCCCAAACTGTGCTAAGCCATTTCTTGAGCTTGGTGCTTTAACCTGCAGAGAGTTCCACAGCCACATACCTCCTTTTTGGCAGGGTTCACATCCTCAGGCAGCTCCTGGTTCTGACTTTTCAGTAGAACTTCTATAGGGTAATATTTTGGCTCACTTTCGTTAGAACTCAGGGAGAGGGTTGCATTCTTCATGTCCTAAGTAAGAGAAGAATACAGATGCAGGCAAAGACTGATGTCTTACATGACCTCAGTTCTCTGCGTGTATAAGATTTACATTTTGGCTTATGCTGCTTTTCAGAACGGGTGGTCCCCAAACTTGGATGCAGGTCAGAACGACCTTGGAAAGCCAATTCAGCAGGCCTAATGTGTTTAGAGCCAGGTGGGCACACACACTGCACTTAGGTCTTTACTATATTTATTTATTCATGCAGTGCTGGGAATTGAACGCAAGTCCTTCTGTGTGCTAGGCTCTGCCAACTGAGCCACACCTCCAGCCGAAAGTCTTTTCTAAACTCTCTGATCACACTCCTTTCTTGGCATTTTTATTTAGGGTCTGTGTTTCCAGTCATCAAATGCCTTGAGACGGAAGCCATGCTTGTGTACAGTTTGAAGACACTAACTGCAACACATTAGCTTTGGGGTCTGACTTTGCAGAACACAACGGACAACATGAAAATGTTGGAACACCCTGTGCCATGCATCCCCTCTTGACATTCCAGGGCTGCTAGCTGCAAGCTCCACTTCTTTTAGCTGTTAAAATAGGGGTCAAGAGCCCAAGCTGCTGTAGACTTCACTGTCAGAAACTAACAAAATACCATTTGGATTAGAAGTTTGTCTCTGAGACAAACTGCCTTTAGTCTCTCCTGAGAGGCAGAAAAAGCTGAATAATAGAGTTAGATTATTATATTAGCAAATAATATTATTTGCTCTGGTTTTTGAGGCAGGGTCCAATGTATCCCAGGCTGACCCCCTCACTCAGTATGTAGCCACGGGTGATCTTAAACTTTTTATTTTGTACATTAATGTGTATGGGGAGTATGTATGCACACAAGCACAGACGCTCTTGGAATGCAGAGGAATATACACTTCTGGAGTGTAGTTATAGTTTCTCGTGAGCCACTCAACATAGGTGCATCACACATGCTTTACCTGCTAAGCCAGCTCTCTGCCCCCACTCCCTGTGTTATAGAAGACAGTATATTAGGAGCTTGGCTCTGAGACCTGCTCATTCTCCCCTCCTCCTGACTTTTTTTTTTTTTTTTTTTTTTTTTTTTTTTGGGGGGGGTCTTCTTTTTGTGGAGGTCTTGCTATGTGGACTAGGTTGGCCTAGAACTCAGGTTTCTCCCAGGTTTGTTTCTCAAGTGCTTGAGATCTGCTTTTCTGTTGATTTAAAATACCTCCGAGAGAGTGCTTCAAACAAAACAAAGCAAAAAAACCCTTTGCATCCAGGTGACAACTGGGGGAGTGCCTAGAGGCACAGAGGGTTTGCCCATGTTGTCATGCTCTCTCTTGGTGGTCCTGGGGACCCCTGTCTTAAGGGCAAACCCCACTCACAGCAGTGATTCGCATGATAGCAGCAGCATCTCCCAGCTCCTTCTTTAACTGCTCATATGATTTTCCTGCCTGTGAAGAGACAAAGACCAGGATGAAGTAGAATCAGGAAGCATTTTGGTGTCCTTGAGGTCTATGTTGGGTCAAAAGGTCCTTACACGTGGTCAACAGTCTTTGGTAGCAAGAAGCAGATGGCCGGCTGTCAGAGGCCTGACTTCTTCCTGCTAGCCCACTGTGACTATGTACTGGCTGTCAGGGTTGTGAGCATGGTATAGGCAGGTACCCTCACACTTCCTCACTGCTTCCTGTCCAGATAGCTGAGAACTATCTGACTAGACTCCCTGCCACCATGGGGATACAGCCGAACAAAAGGAAAGCAAGGCAAGGAATTCAGTGGGAAAAGAGAGTAAGGGTTCAATTTTACTTGGCTGTTGAGTTAGAACCCCACTCTCCCATCTGGGTTCTAAGCCCCCTGGCAATCAGAACAACACCCCCAATTTCTTACACTCCAAATGTGAGGGTCCCATGCCAGGAACCACCCTGTGAAGGTAGGAGGCTCAAAGCCTTGCTTGATGATCAAGATTGGTGTGTCAGGGTCTCGGCCACTGGGGTGAGTTACCAGGTACTCCTGGGCAGTCGAGAGGGCCCCCTCCTTCTCTGTGGCGTTGGCCTCGGCTCCTATCCACAGGAACACCTGTGGCACCAAGTTTGAGTTATCAGTGCGTTCACACCACACCACTCACCCCTTCAGCCAGTCAGAGCCACAGAAAATGCTCTCAGCCTCATTTGTGCTCTGAAGAGGAAGGTTCTAGAAGCAGCTTGATTTTTGTGATTTTAATTGCCATGTGTTTCTTCCAAGCCTACAAAACACTCATGCTGTCTCTGCGTACCTCACACTTCAGCATAGTTAAACGTAGCACTTCTTACCCAAGTGCCTATTCTTGGTATACCTGAGCCATCATCCAGTCAGTCACCTAGGCCAGAACGTCATGGAAGTCAGGTCCATAGTCTAGATCCAGTGAGTCACTAGACTCACCAGCTTGACCGAGGCAGTCGTCCCAGTCTGTCCCCACCCTCTCTTCCTATTTCACTGCCTTTGTGCAGCCAACAGCAGCCCTTTCTTGCCCCCCCTCCCCATCCTGCTCTCCCACTTTATAGGTCAGGTCTGTAGAGCACGGCTACACCTCAGCTGTTAGCTCTGTCTCTTTGTTTGATTTTGAGGCAGGACCTCACTCCATAGCCTCATGCTTACTCTTTCCCTGTGTAGCTGAGGCTAACCTTGAACTCACAGAAATTCTCCTGCCTCAGCCACCCAAGTGCTGGGATTTCAGGCATGACCCACTCACTATACCAGGCTTATTTTATTCTCTGGTAGGAGTTCATGTCTTGCTTTCTAAGTACCCATTCCTTTGCCCAGAGCCCTGCTCATCCTTTGGTATTCAGCCAGGAGCTGTCTCTTCCAGGAAATCCTCCTCTCAGAGCCTTGTATTGAATGTTCTCTGTACCTCCTCATAAAGCTTTGATGTTTTTTTGACTGGCTCCTCCCACCAGCCTATAAGCACTGAAGGAGGGGCTCTTCACCCAGTGACATCAATTAGCACAGCCATTAGCATACAGGATGTGTGCTAAGATGATCTGAAGGAACTAACACACACAGGAAGACATCTCATTCATACACTGCCTGAAATGTAGTCTTGGGCTTTGGGATTGGGTGTTGTCAATCCTCAAATAAGGGTGGGACATACGTTACTCTCTGTTTTTCAAAGTAAAGTAAGAAAATTCCCAGGACGCTGAGAGGAATTGTTTTCTTTTGTTTGACTTGACTCACTGGGCCATCTTGCTGGCCCATTTTCTAGCTTTTTGAGACGGGTCCTGGCTGACCTTAAACTTTGGATCCTCCTGCCTCTACCTGCTAGCTGCTTAGATTCCAGGCATGTGCCAGTATACTGGCTTAATGCTGGTGTGGTATGAAAGAAAATGGGTCCTACAGGGAGTGGCACTATTAGGAGGTGTGGCCTTGTTGGAGTAGGTGTATTCTTGTTGGAGGAAGTGTGTCACTGTGGAAGCAGGCTTTCAGGTCTCTTATATGCTCAAGCCACACCCAGTGAAACAGACTGCTTCCTGTTGCCTGTGAGTCAAGATGTTAAGAACTCTCAGCTCCTCCTCTAGCTCCATGTCTGCCTGCACCCTCCTTGCTTCCTGCCATGATGATAATGAAACTGTAAGCCAGTCCCAATGAAATGTTTTCCTTTATAAGAGTTGCTGTGGTCATAGTGTCTCTTCACAGCAATAGAAACCCTAACTAACATAACTGGTGAGTTCTGTTGTTGTTTTGAGACAGGGTCTCTCTGTGTAGCCCTGGCTGTCCTGGAACTCACTCTGTAGACCAGTCTGGCCTCGAACTCAGAGATCCGTCTGCCTCTGTCACCTGGTTGCTGTGATTAAAGGCGTGCAACACCATGTCCGTCCTTAGCTGGATTGTTTTAAACATCATTCTCTTCTGACTGTGGCATGAATGACGCAGTCTCTCTGGTAACCACCGGAGATGCTTGCCTTAGTGAGTTGGTCCAGCCCTAGCCACACAGAAACCGGCCCAAACTGTGGTCTTTGCCAGCTGTCCTGAACTTTGTGGCTGTGTCTTACCTGGTCCCAGGTGTCCAGGAGCATCACGTCACCTGGGTTCAGGTCATCCTGGGTGAAGTCTGTGACCTCAGTGACAAGGAACCGGCCAGTCTTATTGGAGCATTCGAAGAGCCGGACCTGGACGTCCAGGATTTCTTGCTGCAGCCTGCAGTGTGGAAGGTCAGCTGCATAGGAATCCTGTTGATTGTGCGGGGGACCCTGTGTGTGTGTGCATGTGTGTACATATGAGGACTGAGGTGGCTTTGGGTGTCCACCTTCGTTCTGAAGACAGGTGCTCCCACAGAACCTGGAGTGTAGTGTCGATTTGACTAGACTAGCCGGCCAGCAAGTCTGAAGGATCCTCTTGTCTCCACCTCCCCAGTGGCCTGTGTTGCTGTAGCTGTTTTGTAATGTACATTCCAAGGGATGGAACTTGGGTCTGCATGCTTTCACTTTGTAATGTACATACCGACAGATGGAACTCGGGTCTGCAGCTTGTACAACAAGGACTTTGCTATGTCCCCAGCCCAGAAAGAAATCATGTTGAAAACCGTGAAGGATCTTAGGAGGCCAGAGGAGCCCAGAATACAGGGCTGATGTGTTCACATACCTTTTGTCATTAGCATAAGGTGTTTTTCCTCCCAGAAGCTCCCAGAACTCAGGTGGCTCCTGGCCCTCAGCCACAGTGTCTGCGTCGCCACCACAGAGAAGCTCGACCAGCTCCTTGGCCATTGCCCGCTCATCCCCACTAGATCCCTGAGTGGGTAGGGAGAGCAGGGGCATTAGAAACCCCAGGACACACTAATAAAAGGGGATGATGCAGGGCTTCTGGAACTGGATGGGGTCAGCTCTGATCTGCAGTGCCTCAGGATGGGGAGAGGGAGGAAGTTGGAATGTAGGCAAAGGGTAGGCTTGTTTTGAAACCCTCAGTGGTCATAGACAGAAGTCGCCTTTGTTTTAGCTTCATATGGAATGTCAGCACATGGTTTCCCCCAATTGTAAATTCTGGGGTATTCAACCTAGGGTCTTGCACATGCATGGAAAATGCTCTACCTCTAGAGCAAGCACTATATCCCCAGGCCTAGCATGTAATTTTCATTGGGCGGGGGGAGTAGGAGAGATTTTTTTAAGGTGGGTTTTCTCTGTGTAACAGAGTTCCTGGCTGTCCTGGAACTCACTCTGTAGACCAGGCTAGCCTCAAAATCATAGAGATTTGCCTGCTTCTGCCTTATAAGTACTGGGATTAAAGGCATGTGCCTTTTTAAAAAATTAACAGTAAAATGGACTGTGTTGGGCTCCACAAGGCTTAAAAACAGAACTTGGGTACCACACTGCAATTACAGGGACATTTCCTACCCCTTTGGAGAGAAGCCCTGTATCCTAAACTCTTGACAACTGCTAAGCTGTTCTCCATTAGAATAGTCCTGCCATTTCTAGACTGTCTTAAGTGGAAGCATGTGACATCCAGCCTTATGTTCAGATACTTTCTTTCACTTAGCACGAATTGGAGACTCTTCCACGTTGTGTGCGTGAGTGGCTCTTTCATTTTTCTGCTGAGTAATATTCCATTATATGAGCATACCTATGTTCATCCATTTTCCAGATGTCTTCTAACCTGAGAGGATTCTGAGTAAGTGTGCCATACACAAGTGTACAACTCTTTGTGTAGAGAGGTTTTTGTTTGTTGGGGTTTCTTAAGATTTATTTTACGTGTATGAGTATATTGTCCTTGTGTATATGTGTGTACCAAATGTGTACAGTGCCTGTGGAGGTCAAAGAAGGCATCGGGCCCCCTGGAACAAGGGTTACAGATGGTTGTAAGCCGCATGTGGGAACTAAACCCAGGTCCTGTGTAAGAGGCATCTCTGCTGAGCCATCTCTCCAGCCCCTGAAGAGATGGGATCATTTTTGTGTGTGTGTGTTTATTCGTATGTGTGTGTATACGTGTGTGTGTGTGTGTGTGTGTGTGTGTGTGTGTAATCCCACTCCAGCCTTTTGTGGTGCTGGGGATAGGAACCTGGTGCTTGTACTGACAGCAAAGCCCTTTACCAAGTGCGCCACCTCCCCAATAAGACCGTGTTTATTCTACTGCTGTAAATACACAGGAGTAATGTTGCTGGATTGCGTGGTAAATGTCAGTGTAATTTTATTAGAAACTGTCAAACTGTTTTCTAAAATGCTGAGAGTAGAGCCAGGGCAAGCATGAGCAAGCTCCTTGGGGCCAACACCCACCAGCCATCTTATCTTACCTTGCCATACCACAAGTAGTGTTCTGTCTGAGTTTGCAGCAGAAAGACGTCATTAGAGTTGAGTGAGGAAGCGAAGGCCGAGACTTCCACTGCTTTGGTATTGGATTTGTCATTTCCTTGGATCTGGAAGAGTCTTATCGGAGGTTCAGGCTCTGCATTTCCCTTCCTGGAAGTCCCACCCTACAGAGAAGAGAAGTAGAAGCCAGATCTACAGAGCACCCATGCGCTGGTTGTCGTGGACAGAGCTGTATTGGATACCATCTTTACCCTTCAGGATCTCCTAGGCTGGCTGGAAAGGATCCAAGTGAAAATGTCACCCTGTGCCAGGAGCTAGGACCAGTGTCTTCCATACTCAGGGACCTCAGAATAACCCCAGGAAGCAGATGGTACTCCGCATGCACATGAGGAAACAGATTGGGAAACTGGCTTATAGGTGGCAAGAGAAGGGCTTGATGCCAGATTCGTGTGATACCCGGCACGTGACTGCATTGCCGGCCCATGCTTCCGCCAGGGCTCCACGGAAGACCAGGGCCTTACACTGGAAGAGGGGCACACCTGGGCCATGAGTCGGGGCAGCGCAGTGCTGGAAGGGTTGCAGGGTGGGTAACCGAGGCTGCTACGCCTATACAGGTCATGTGGCTTGGATTGGGAAAGACCATGAGCACTATCTAGAGAGGAGCGTGGACTCGAAGTCCTAGGCATTTGAGATTCCCTTGAATGTCTCAGAATAAACCCCTCTTTTGTCCTTATGTCTAAGCTAAGCCCTGTGTTGTCGCCATCCCCCTGTGTCCCCCTCCGCATGCATCCTCACCCAACCCCAGCCTGTCTGGTAGCTCTTTATGGGCCCATCAGCCCTGAGCATCCCTGCATGGCTATAGATAGTGCTGTCTGTCCATCCTCACCTCATAGATAACCAGCTTTCCTTTGAAGATGGCCATGAAGTGGCGTGGCTCCTTCCCCATGCTCACCCGAACCTGCACCGGGGCTCCATCAAACTGCTGATCCACCTCCACAGCCTGGTAGGCCGAGGCTGCCAGCTCATCCTGTGAGGCATGGCGGCCCTGCAATGGTGAGAGAGGAGTGATGGACCTCGGCCCAGTGGCCCGGGGGCATCTGGATCCAGCACTGAGAGCTGCCTGGCCTACCTGCCAGATGTACAAGATGTAATGGGGCTTCCCGTTCACCTCATATGTGTAGAAAACCAGATAGCAGTCTCCCCCATAGAAGAAGCCATACCACTGATGTTCCACAGGGACCAGCTCCAGGTTCTCAATCCTCCAGACCTGGGCACAAGAGGAGACACAGTCATCACCCAGAGAGGAGGCATCCTGTAAGAGGATTCCACCTAATGGGAACTGGGCAATGTTTAATAGCACCCACGGGGGATGAAGTGCTAACATCCATCCCAAGTGCCCACTGTCTCTCTGGGTTTTCTCTGCCTTGAAGGTCCATAACATTGCATGATTTGAATTCTGATAAGGGGGGTCACAGGCCACACTGGTCCAGTACCTCCTATCATATAGCCTAGGTCTTTGTAGACTGAGTGGTGACTTAAATACATCTTCCAGGTGACAGCCCATTGGGGGATTGTGTCTCTCACCTTCCTGAAGCATTTGTGGGGAAGCAGCCAACCCCAAGCCTCTTAGAGCATATGGAAATGAGGTCTAGTGTTGCTCTTATCAGGCTCACCTCAACCTTCCCATTGCCATCATCCACCATTCTCTCCTGGGCAGCCACTTCTGGCTTGGTGTGTAGGAGACTCACATCAAACTTGTCCTGGAAGACTTTAGCTGCAGAGAAAGGCATGGGAAAAGCCAGGTGAGCAGGACATACACGCTCATGCCTACTCCTAGGGTCCCGAGCAGAAGAACACACATGAGAAATCTCACCAATCTTTCCAATGCTGAATGTTTTCCCCAAGCCTGTGGTCTGCTCCTTCACTGACCATTTCAGGAACAGCTGTTTGAACATGGCTGACTCGGCGCCATCGTTGACAGTCTCCACGTTGGTGCTGCTGGGATAACCCTTCATCTTGATGAACTCCTGCGGCCCCACCCCCATATAAGAGCATGTCAGCCAGGGCATATACTGAGTGCCTGCTCATCTGGTAATTCATTCCTCTGAAGTCAGGTGATAGGAGTCTCCCCTCCCTGCCCCTGGGAATCATAGCCAACTTGTACCTCACTTCTGTCTAAGGTCCCATGTAACCTACCACCAAAAGATACAAACACTTTGGTGTCTCTTCATTAGACTACCATGACTCAGGTAGTATTCAGGCATCTGTACCGGCCTGCCCTTGGGGTTCTGACAGGATACATCCTCAGCTGCAGCTACTAAGAGCACCTCCTGTGCACATTCACTACATTCTGTTTTAAAAGGGCCCTGCCCACCTCCTGTCTGTCCCTCCCTCCCTCCCTCCCTCCGTCTCTCTCTCCCTTTCTCTGCTTGTTTTTCTGTCTCCCCACCACCACCACCTCTCTCTTCTCTTCTGCTGCTCCTCTCCCTAGAGGCTTGTCTCCTCCCCCCCCTTTTCCCATTCCCTTTACCCTAATTTAACCAAACAAACAAACAAACAAAACCGTCCACTTGAGTTCTGTTGCATGGTGCCTTTCTCTCTCAAGCCACTTTTTAAAAACTATAGCAATGACCATTATGGATTAATTTTGCAAGACCTACTATGTAACTATCCTGACTTTTTTTTTATCATAGTTATTTGTTCATTTATTGCTTTTAAGCACATCACACCCGGGTCATGTGCTAGATCTGCAGAATTTCGTAAATGCCACTTGAAAGCTGGTCCCCTCATCAGGACACGTGACGTCCCCTTCAATAACAACAGTGCATTCAAAAGGCAGGTTCTGTGTTCCAAGTGTGGTTCTGAGTATTTTACAATTTTTTGTTGTTTTTTTGAGACAAGGTCTCTCTGTGTAGCCCTGGCTATCCTGGAACTCATTTGTAGACTAGGCTGGCCTTGTCCTCACAGAGATCCACCTGCCTCTGCCTCCTGAGTGCTGGGATTAAAGGCATGGACCACCACCCCCTGAAGTTCATGTTATCACTGCAGTGTGCTCAGTGCCTGATGTGTTTGGGGCATGTCTACGGGGACAGAATATTTGGGCGGTATCACACATTTACAGCTCCTACCAGGGCTTTGGACATGGCTGCCTGTTTCTCAACCTTTGTGGCTCCTTTGCCTTTCCACACATAGATCTTGGTTCCACTTTGGTCCAGGATGTAGCAGTCCTGAAATAGCCAGGGATAAGCATGGTTATCAATACTCAAGATAGAGAGATAGAGTTACTTTTGGCTTCCCCAGGCCAAACCCCTCCAGTTCCACTTACATCATGGTTCAGCAGGTCCTGGACCAGAGGCCTTGTTGCCACCTCTGTGATTGCCAGCTGCCCAGCTGCATCGGAGACACTGGTGAAGAAGGGAGATTAGTCTGTGTCTTCTCTCGGGTAGAGTATCCTGTAGCTAATGTAATGCTGTGTGTGGTGCGGCACTGCAGGATAGAGCCTGACTCTTTGAGACAGACACAGCTCGAATACAGAGAGGAAGACAAATTCTCTGGAGGTGTTTGTGTGTCTCTCCAAAACTAACCTGTCCACATCCCTAGGCTTGGTTACAACAGTCTCACCCAGAGGTCAGGAGACCTCTAACAAGAACAGATAGCTGCCCCCTTGAGAGGGGCTGTTTCTGAGATACTTGTAGGAGATACATTTAAAAAGGATGGCCCAAGAGTGAAGGTAGATGCCTCCTCCCAAGCTGAGTGCTGGGTCTTATAGGGAACATCTCCCCACCCCCAGCCTCCAACCCACAGCCAGATTTGAATACTCACTGATACAACATGATATTTGACTTTTGCTGCTGATCCATGATCTCATCAGGAACTGCAGGCTTGACGATGGAGCGTCGGCCGAGGGTGTCCTGAAGGACTGTCATCAGCTCTGGGCTGGCTGCCTCTTTGTCTCCCTCAATCACTCCAATCTCAGCACGGCCCCCTCGCTCCCTGTCCCGAATGTCCTTCGCCAGAAGCATAGCCTGCCAAAGAAGACCAGGGAAGCGCTCAGCTCACCCGGTACCCCTTCTTTCCAGACGGCTTCATTGGGAGCCACCAGGATTGCAGACACATTACCCCGATGTTAAGGAGCCCGGGGGGGGGGGTGAGACCCCAGGTGAGACACGCCCTTGGCCTGGCTGCAAGCCGTGATCTACTCTAAAGCAGGGTCCACCTGGAATCTTGGGGGTCAGCCAGCATAGAAGGCCAAGGGCAAGGACCCCAAAGAGCCCAGCTCTAGGCCTGGAGGAGGTGAGAGAGAGGGAGACCTTGAGTCGCTCCCCGCTGTTGCTCTCTGGGCCGTTCCACTGGATGATAGCCATCCCAAGGTCCAGCAAGAAGACGTCACCTCGGTTAAAACTGTCCCAGCTCATTTCCACCTGTATGGGAAAAGTGGGTGCCGTTTAGAGGGTGGCCTTAGGTGCCGGAGCAGGAGCGCTGGGCCAGGGACAGTCTCTGTGTAGGACTCACCTCAGTGGCCCTGATGTTTCTTCTCCCCTTTACATGTAGCAGTCGCTTCAGGTCATAGGTGTTGGTCTCTACATGCTTCATCCCAGAGGCCACGCCCCCCCTTTTGTAACTGAAGGAATAGTAACCCAGTTACTTGTTGGCTGCCTGCTGCACGCTAGGTTCTGGGGAGACTATTGTGAATTAAATACAGCAGTAACACACAGACATCCATCTCTACCCACATGGTTTATAATGACCAATGTACAAAGTAAATTCGGACATGCGCCCGCTGCCCCACGGGTCAGTTCGGTGACCAGAGGCCAGAGCTGTCTTTCTGAAGGGACATTTGAGCTGAGATATTATAATGAGAAGTCCCAAGATCCAGAAGGGCAGTGCTGGGGCAGAGAGAGCCTCACAAGTTTGGATTACAGCTGTGTGCCACAGCCCTCATGTGGTCTGTGCATTCCCACACCCACTTGCAACCTCCTAGACCTCTCCCTGCCACATCTATTGTGGCAGTTTAATGTCCCTTCTTCATTCTAGTAAAACATGTCCTATTTATTGCCTGTGTGCATGAGTTTTATAAAGCAAGAAGTTGGCATTTTGGTGTGTGTGAGTCTGTGTCTTTGCTCATGTGTGCTAGGTGCGTACATGATCTACGGCTGCCAGGACACATTATCTCTTTATGATGGACACCTGCATTGACCACAGCCTCCTCCCACTAACAAACTGTCAGGAACACTCTGGATCATGGACCCTTGGGGCCCTGGGTGTGTGAGGGGTTTAGAGTTCTGAGAAATGGGGTACACCTTGGCAGCCCCAGTTATGCTCCAGCATGCAGTGCAGGTTCTCACTCCCTCTAGCAGGTGCAAAGTTCCGTTCCTCACAGCCCACCCAGCACCTGGCCCTACCCGACTCTGGTGGGTACAAGTGACCGGTGACCGTGACCAATCAGCTTTGCATCTCTTAGGTTACCTCTTCAAAGGCCTTACCGACCCTTTAGTTTACTCTCTGGGAAATGACTATATCCACCTCTCTGCATACCCACTCACATGATCCCCTGCTTGAAGTAGCCTCGGAAGGTGTCAGATTCATGGTACTGGACCTCACGGTGCTGCACGGGGCTGCCTCCCAGGTAGTCATCCAGCTGTGTGGTATAGATGGCTGCACAGCTCTGCTCGTCCTGGGAGGAGTCCTTCCCGATCCAAAAGTGAATGTCCTGGGAGAGGAGGCTGCCCACTCTCCGGGTCTAGGATGTAGCCAGAGAGTGAGGTGAGACCCATGCTCACCTCTCTTCTGCTGACTTCCCTGGTGTGAGAACACTTAACATGCCTTCCTTCACACAAGCAACCCTTAGAACTTTTACAGGCCTGCTTCACCACATTTGGGGATGTTGATAGCTTGTTCCTAAAGTGGGGAATCTTTCCCCAGTTGTATTTGCAGGCTTAGTCACACAACAGTCCAGCTGCCAGCACTGTCCATGTGAGGTATTAGTTCTTCCACTAGAACGAACACTTTTTAAAAAGATTTTTTTAAAAAAAAGACAGGGCTACACGTCCAAGCTAGCTCAAACTTTCTGAGTCTGGCCCTAAACTCAACCTTCCCTTTCACCCCGAAAGTGCTGTGATTATAGGCATGTGCTGTTTGTCCTGCCTAGTTCTTTGTCTACCTGACACAAGCTGGAGTCACCTAGGAAGAACAGTGATTGAGAAAATGCATCCATCAGACTGCCTGTAGGCAAGTTTGTAGGGCAGTCTCTTGATTGGTGATTGACTGGGAAGGCCCAGACCATTGTGGGTGGTGCCGATCCTGGGCAGGTGGTCTTGGGAGATAAATACAACAGCCACAAGAAGCAAGCTAGTAAGCAGCACTTCTCTGTGGTCTGCTTCAGTTCCTGCCTCCGGGTTCCTGCCTCTCAGTCTTGCCCTGCCTTCCCTCAATGGTGGACTACACGCTGTTTGATGAAATAACACAGCTGCATTTACCACAGTAATAGAAACTCCTACCTATTCTACCTAGCTCACAAAGAATACTTTGTGGTCAAAGTCAGGCTGTGAATTTGTCTGGCCTTCCTCAGAACACTTTAGTGTGTGGCTTGGATCCTGGAAGTAGAGGTGCACTCTCTCTCTCTCTCTCTCTCTCTCTCTCTCTCTGTGTGTGTGTGTGTGTGTGTGTGTGTGTCTGTCTGTCTGGGGATGGGGAGTTTATGCCCACCGCCTGATGCACAGTCACAGCCCCAGGCCTGGTGGTAGCCATTCTCAGTCAGCTTGAGGTCCTGCATGGCAGGAAGAGGAATCTAGGCAGACACGGGGAACACCACACCTCCCACAGTCAGAACTTGAAACAGCCTGGGAACAGCCTGCTGAGGCAGGAATGTTGGATGTGGAAGACATGGCTCACCGAGAGAATGATGTAGCAGTCTCCCTCGTAGAAGTTGCCATGAGCACTCAGAGGCACCAGCACCAGTTCCATTTTCTAGAAGGATCAGAAGAGTATTCAGCTGTCCCACCTCCTGCTTTCACCACAGCCTCCTTCCACTCTGTGCCTCGCTGGGCGGGCACAGCACGGTAGAGGAGACACTATCCCCACAGCCTTACAGGGCGGGTGGCCAGCACAGCACAGGACCGCTGCTCTGCTCTGGGAACTCTCCCCTAATCACTCTGGTTCAGAATCTGCTGTGGTGTCTGTCCTTTCCTGTGTTCTTCCTGCGTCCTACTTGGTCTCATCCCCACTACCCAGTACTCTAGAAAGGCCTGAGAGCCCCCTGAAGCCTGTGGAAGAGGAAAGAGTTGGTGTGACTGTCAAGTTAAAGCCCTCTGGGCAATCCTGACCAGTGTGTGCAGTACAGTGCAGTGTGTTTAACCCTCTGCTCCTGACTGACCAACTAGAGCTGCCAGGCTGCCCAAAGGGATTCTGGGAAGCTGAGCAGGAAGGGAGGCTGACAGCACAGAGAAAGCCAGTGTCCTGCAGTGCTGAGGCTGAGCGTCTTGTCTTGCATTCAGAGTCCGAGTTGGGACCCTGATTCACTCATCCTAGGAGGGCCATTTGCACAGCCCCACATGAAAATGACAGTCTTCCCAAGGAAGGCAAGCCTGTGGCCATATTTGTGTATGTTCTGGGTAAAATCTGGATGTAAGTATGAAAAAGATATATAACTTTTTATGAATACCCCCTTTTTCTTTTTTACATTTATTTATTGTGTGTGTCCAAGAGCCACACTGTACATGTGAAGGTCAGAGACACTTGAGGGAATGCATTCTCTTCCTCCACCATGTGGGTCCCAGGGCTTACACTCAGCCCCAGTGTTGGCTGCACATACCTATATCCACTGAGCCACCTGGCCAGCCCTCCCTATTCATTTGGAAGTAAATGGGGGGAGCTTTCAACACTGGGAGTAGGCTGGGCTTCCCACAAGCCTCTAGAGGCTTGCCAGAAAGCGGTGACTCACTTTGGAATTGAAGGGAAGTGTTGCTTGTGGTGTTCAGGCTGCTGCAGCTGACTAGGTAGGTGTGTCCCACTACCTGGTAGGTGCACCCAGACCAGACCAGAGCCAGGGTCACCCAGAGGTGACCAAGCCCACGGGGTAAGGGATGAGCAATGGCCATCTGCGCGGCATGCCCCACCCCCAAAGCTGGTGGGGACCAGTGTTCCGACGATGATGTGTCCCGTTCCTCTGATCAGTCGCCAAGAATCTCTGGTAAGGGACCAGTCTTTCCAAGATGCTGACTGAAGTGTAGACTCAACAAGCAGATGGCTTGTTCTGCTTGGGGACCTGCACTGAGCACAGGCTGGGAAGACCAGCCTTTGATGCTAACCCTCAGTGGCCACTGCTTGGATCCCAGCAGTCAGGGTGGGCGTGGCTCCTATTTAACTCACCTCAATTCTCCAGGTGATGATCCCAGGGTCATTGCCCACAGCCCTGAAGGCACTGCTCAGAGACATAGTTTGTGTTCCTGGAACTGAAGTATCACAAAGACGGAAGGTGATGCCCCTCACAGTGTACAGGGACCCACCGCTTCTTCTAAGCCGTCCTGTCTCATCAGCCATCGCACTGCATGCCGTTTTGGTATAACCACCGCCACCTCTCCCCCTCCCCCTCATCTCATGATGGTAGTTCAGATTCACACAGTGACCTGCCTGGGCAGTCAGTCCCTTCCCCAAAGTAACAGTTTCCACCTGTTACTTCCTGGTTGAGAGCTCTGGCTGATAGCAATATGTTTTTTTTTTTTTTTTTAATTATGTGTGTTGGTTGGTGTGTGCATTGGTGCCCTTGGGAGGCCAGAGGTGTTAGATTCCCTGAAGCTGGACCTACAGGTGATTGGGAGCCACCTGAATCAGTCAGGCTCTCTGGAAGAGCAGTATGCACCATCTCTCTGTTGGGGGCCAGGCAGCACATATTCCTGAGGGTGATGAATGTCAAGCCTGTGCTGATTCACTTTGTACACATTGTCTCACTCCCTGGCCATGGCCCTGTCACCTTCTAGCACAAATGAGGTTTAAGCCGGGCAGTGGTGGCACACACCTTTAATCCCAGCACTTGGGAGGCAGAGGCAGGTGGATCTCTGTGAGTTCAAGGCCAGCCTGGTCTACAAAGCTACACAGAGAAACCCTGTCTTGAAAAACCAAAGGGGGGGGGGCGCAGCAGATGATGACCCAAAAACAAACAAACAAACAAAAAACAAATGAGATTTAAAATAACATCTGTATCTGCACTTTTTTATTTTATGAACACGGGGTCTCTCCACACAGCCCAGGCTAGTCACAGACTCCTGCCTCAGCCTCCGGACTTCGACTGCTGGGATTACAGGCTTCTTTCTACCACTAGATCCAGCTCCATACCTTCTATTTTCATATCTGATCTTAACAGTCTGTGTTTTAGCCACTTTTTTTGTGCCTGATGCCCTTCCCCAAAACTGAGTTCCGTGGCTCAGAGCAAGGAAACCCAGTGAGAAATTATTTCCGAATGAAAGAAACCACGTCCTCCTGACCCTTCAACTCCTCTTCCCAGGTTCTTGGCAAGATCTTGCCAGCCCACCTGCTCTTGACTTTTGATCCTGTAAACTGTCCTAGAATGGTAACATCCCTGTATCATGACTCTTATATTAGCTAGTCTTGCAGAAGAAAAGGGAAAGTACAACGACAGAGGCTGGGACAAAGGGCTTGGGTGCCAAGGGGGGGGGTGTGGGGTGTGTGTGGCCTCCTTGCCCATAACCCAGCTTCTCTGGAAGACCTGCCCTCAGTGAACATAGAGGTTTCCAGCACCCACAGGGCTGAGTAAGGCTGGAAGGGAAGAAGTGGTATACAAAGACCATGGGACCCTTTCTACAGTCAGAACCAGGGCGGGTTACCTGGTAGCTTTGGGTACGTGTCTCCTCCCAAGTCCTGCTCTCAGGGAGACTGTGCTCTGGCAGTATGCCTAATGACTACTAGATTGGTTTCTCCTAAAACTCAAAGTAGGGATGGGATGGGTAGATTTATGAGAGATTAAAAAGCAAGTTGCCTGGGGGATCATGTGGATGTTTGCTATTTGGTGATATGCTGGGCTGATTAAGTGTAGCATTGTCTAGGGATGGGGTGTAGCTCACATAGTAGATCATTTGTCCTCTGGAGAACTGCCCTATCCCTTAAAAAAAAGTCTCATCTTTTTTTTTTTTTTTTCCTTGAGCCTCGATGGATAAAACCAGGTTTGGAGAGGATGTGCCATTACTACCAAAGAGGCAGGTCCCTTTGTGTGCAGTCGGCGGTGGACTAAAGCAGAGCCATGGTGCGGAACCGCCAGTGTTTGAGGACTTAATTTGATAAATTGTGCTGCCCCGCCCTGCACCAGGAAATACTCAGGTTTTCTTCAGGCCCTAGATTTTGACCCACTCAGGAAAGGGACCCAGAACCAGTATGTTCCGGTGAACCTGGTAAAGCCTAACCACCTGCCATTAATCCCGTCTCAGAGCCCCCAATACATTCCTTGTCCCCCACCGACTACAAACTCGGAGCTGACTGACTAGGGATCCAAGATTCAGGCGCTGCCACACCCAGAAAGCCCAATCAAATCCACCCACCACATTAAAGTCCCCCAGAGCTGGGTCTCTGTCTTCCCAAGTCCAAATATCGGCTCTTCAGGGGCCTCAGAGGGCTTCGAAGATCATGGGCACAGGGTGTGGTCTGGGGATTCCAAGTTACAAAGCTGGTGGCTTGTAATCTACTGGGGCTTAAACTTCTCCCTTGCCCCATGGAGGAATAGATGGGGGTTCTTCTCTCCCCCCCCCCACTTCCCCTGCCCTGAGAATGTGCTCAACTTACTCAGTGGGCTCTACAGGTACTTTTTCCAAGAAGTTTGCAAAGCTAGTCACAAACTCCTGGCCCAATCTTTCAAAAGCTTTATCCCAGAAGACAAAAACAAAGCAAGATCCAACTCCTCCTCCACTTTCTGCCTCATCTACTCATCATTCCACTGGAAAGTATACACACAATAGACCTACCTTGCCCTCTCTGTCCTCAGTTTTCCGGCAAGCAGCAGGTGAAGTACAGATGAGCAATCCCAAAGCAGGCAGCTTCAGGACCTGCAGCCTCAGTTCAGCAATGGCCGCACAGACGCCGGGTTATATTTGCTTGTGTTTGCATCATAACCACATTTTCCTAGCTCTGGCCAATCACAGACAACCTAGCCCTGGGCTTGACTTATTCAAACCAGAGGAGAAAGCTGTATCTGCTCCTATTCAAAACAGTGAAAACAAGAAGAGCAGACTTCAGAGATCCACACCCTGGTCTATTGATTTTTTTTAAAGAGTGCACTGCCCATCAATAATTCAGCGAGAGGGAGGATATGAAATCTGCCATATTGTAGATATTAGTGCATTATGCTGATGGCAGAAGACTGGCTGGAGCTGCCCCACCGCCTGCCTCAGCTTTCAGGGTGTCGGGGCTCTGAGAAGGTTCTGGTGCTTTTCAGGGTTCTTCGGTGTCAGGAAGCTTGGAGTCTTGGAGTCTTTACTCATCATCCTACCAGGAAACCATGTTGGGGTATGAATCTCGGGGCTCCTGGTTTGGCAGCATCAAGAGTAAACACAAGAACATCAAGTCTCCAGTTCCCCTAGGGCTTCAGTTTATGCCCAGCAGTCAATAGGACACCAAGCATATGCTTAACAAGCACTTGAGACTATGGAGTTGGCCCCAAATTGGGCCAGAGAAGAGCTAATGTAGTCCAACCTCTGTAACCTTGATCAGAAACCCAGTGCATGTCCCGCTGGGTGCTACACTTCATATGGGAAGGACAGGAAGTACCCAGAGTGACAGGAGTGATGACGGAGGCGGTGGCAAGGAAGGCACACAGCTCCCACTCTTGCAAAGGTTTTAAAACCAGCCTTTATTAACTAATTGTAAGTAATACAAATATTCCAAAAATATAAACAGACTTTTAATGGCATCCTACATTTCAAGTTTTTGAATACAACAAATGTATCAAATCATGAAGCAAGGTGGTCAAGGATCCCATAGCCCAGTCACAGTGGGAAGCAGACCCCTCCCCTCCAAATGGCATCTTGAAAGGGGAAATAGGCAAATCTGGGGTAATTACAGGCAAAGAACATCACCAGCCTGAGAGAGGCTGTCTCAGGAGCTGACCCTGCACTAAAGAAAGGAGTGGGCAGGACAGCTGGCCAGACTTGTCACCTCTTGTCCCTGGATGTGTCTTTACTAATGTTGTTTTCTAAAAAGAAAAGGGGAGCTGGGAGTGTAGCTCGGTTGGCAGTGCTTGTCTAGCATGCATGCAGTCCTGGTTGTCACCAGCACCACATGAGCCAGCACTTGGGAGGTGGAGGCAGAGATCACAAGTTCAAGATCATCCTTGGCTAAACAGTGAGTTCAAACACCTGCCTGGACTCATGAAACCCTGTCTGAAACAAAAAGACAAAACTAAGGTATAAAAAAAAAAAAAAAAAAAAAAGAAACTAAAAAGAACCAAGTAGCCCAAAGGGGAAAACAGGCTAACCGTTCTCATACACTTAGCCAGGCTGACACGCTGGATGCAGAACAGCCATGATCGGGCTGCACTGCCTCTGGAACAGGGCAGGGCATGGAATCACTGAGGATCCATTTCCTGGGGAACGGCTGCCTTGAAAGCCCCATGCTTTTAGTGTGAAGCTTTCTGAGCCACTGTTAACAGAGGGGATTACACATTTACACAGAAATCTTTGGGAGGCAGGAGGGAGTGAAACAGGTCCCTGGTTAAATGAAGGCAAATTCACTCAACCTCTTTAATTAGGGACCTATGGGCCTACAGTGTCCCCTCTACAATGTGCAGAGTGGAAACCCTTACCTGGCCCTTTATCAAACTGGTCCTGTGTCCAAAGCTCCCCCTATAAGAGGGACACGAACATCAGGCTTTTGATTTAGAAGCCCAATCAGAGAGACACACTGTGTCCCTGAAGAGGCACCTTAAAGAGCTGAACCTGACAGCTGGGCAGATTCCTGGTGTGGCTTGAGTGGGTGTGGACACCAGGCCAGGTGGTCTAATTCAAGACTCCTGAAGAGTAGTCTGCAATGGGAAGGCTAGTGGCAAGCCGGGCAAGAGATGAGCTAGCTGTCACCCAGCCTTGCCCTGCTCTGTGTCTGCCTTAGTTCTCTGAGTGGCACCCACTAAACGATCACTTGCCTCTAAGACATGAACTAGCAAGCAGGACAGGCCCTCTTTAGGTTTGGAAAGAGGGGATGGTATCTCTGTAGCAGACTACAGGTGGCAGAGAGGCCCAGAAAGCTGGGGCTTCCTGTAGAAGCAGCAGGGCTCTTTCATGAAGCCACTCTGGGATTTGGTCGTGGATCAGAACCAGTCCTTGCATATGCCCAACAGCAAGGACTGAGCACAGGCTCCTCCTCCAGGAGGTAAAACATGGAGATGCAGACAAAGGTAGAAAGGGGCCTTGGTATTCAACTCTGAGGCTCTTATTGCTTAGTCAGGACTAGCCCTCAGAGCAGGCCTTGCAAGGGTGGCAGTGAGACCAGGACCTGGATCTGAAGCCACAACCAAGCTCATGTGTTATGGCTAGCACCTGGAGAGCTCTCCCGTCACCTTGGCAGGACCCCACAGGCACCAGCAGATGATGCCATGGAAAATGGCATGAACTTGGGGAGTCTGTCCTGCTCGCTGTCATCATGCAAAAGACAAGGCTCCACAGCCTTAGACTAAGGAGGAAGACTGCACAACGCTAGAAGGATGCCAGATAATCAGTCATCCGACAGAACACCCAGCTCTACCACCAGGCTTTGTTGAAACCTGTTAATTCCCAAGGCAGGAATTAGTGCATGGAAACTAAACAATATTGCATGGCTCCTGAGTGGGTGGTGATCACACCTGAAACAATTCACAGATGCTGGCACCTGCCTCCAGGGAAAGCAGATACATAGGGCTAGGAACTCCAACCCCGCTCTGAGAGAGAAGGGAGAATCTGACCCAACCCTGGGGGCAGGACTCAATTAAGGCAGTGACACTGAGGTGGTGCCTCAGGGGCCTCTTGTGCTCCAAGTGACAGCAGCACTTCCCTTTTGTCTCCACCTGGGGAAACGTCCTTTCTGCCACTCTGTTTGTTAAAGCCTTTGAGACTGAGAACTTAGGCTAGGACCTCACTCAGTCCCGTGTTACCACGGGAGGCAGGAGGCATTTACCCATTTGGCAAAGCAATGACAGCAAGACCTGCAACCCCTCAGTCCTGGAAAAGCAGTTCTTCCAAGGCCCTGGAGGGGAAGAGAAACAGCCAGAAAGGGATAAAGGCTAGATCAGACAAGACAACCAGGACAGGACACCAGGGAAGGAAGACACAATAGAAAGAGCCCTGCCTGGGTGACAGGAGGGATGGAGCAGCCTAGCAACCCTTTTTGACCCAGCACTTTCAGATCTACAGGCAGGGAGATGCACATTCTGCTTTGGACATTTGTTTCCCTGTACCCTAGCACCTCCCATATGCGTCTCAGGCCCCCGGACTGCAGCTCAGCTGGACACAAACCAGGCCCACCGCTCCATGTTTACAAAGAGAATTTTAAAGAGTAAAAAGAACAGAAATCAGTTCTGTGTCCTCTTCCAGGGTAGGGAGAAGAGCTCCTTCCCCATGGGAGTTAAAGATTATGGCTAGGGAGTGAGAAGGCTGGCTTGGTACTGGAGCCTGGGGAGACACAGCAGAGCCCGTGGTGGCAGGTACTCTGCTGGAGCCAGATGTGGGGGTGGGGTGGGGGCTCACACAGGACCTGGTGATTTTGAGCACTGGTTCTGCAAACACGCTCTCATCTTCCCTGGGATGTCTGCAGTTGCTGGCTAGTATTTTATGTTTTCAGAAGGGTGTGTGTCTGGGGCATCAAGGCAGCCTCTGGCTTCTCCTTTCTCCTTGGCACAGGCCTTGTGAAGTTGAGGAAAGGCCATGGTTTGGCAAGAGAGCCTGCAGCAGTTGTCATCACTGTAAAGCTCACAGGTCAGTAGGAAAGGAGACAAAGGACTTGATCTTTCAGCTTCTCCCCCTACTTGACACTGGACATCCTGGGCCATAGTTCACTGTATGGGCACACGAACACACACACACACACACACACACACACACACACACGCACACTCACACACACACACGCACGAACACACACACACACACACACACACACACTCTCTCTCTCTCTCTCTCTCTCTGCCTCTCCTCTCTCCTCTTCTCCTCTCTCTCCTCTCCCTCTCTCCTAGAACTACACACAGGGTGCAGACAGCTATGGATAGGTCCAATTTGCCTGCTCTGCATCTAACCTGCCCTAAAGATCTTGTCATCATTTTCCGACTACTTCCAGACCCTCTGGGCAAGTGCTCCAGCTCCTGCTTGGCTAGGTCAGTCAGGCTGATCAGAAAGGCACAGTGTAGCAAAGTCCCCTACTGGGATGGCCGTTTCTTGGAAGCAAGAAGGCTAAGGGGCCCGCAGCTGCCCAAGGCTGGTATACACATCATCTGCTCCACTCAGCTCCTCAAAGATTGGAATGAGGTTCAGCAACTCTGTATCTGCCATGTCATCAAACCAGGACTGCACAGGCACCTGGGGTAGGGAAAAGGTGAGGTTAATCTGCTTGTCCTTTTCTTGATGCAGCCACTGGAGGCTACTGGGTCATACTGGGGTAGTGAACTCTGGTGAAGCCCCTTGTCCTGGCCTGAGGCCCAAGGGCCTGTCTGGTCCACTCACTGCATTCTCCGGGTGGAAGATGTAAGACGCAGGAGAGTTGTCCAGGATGAGGGTCTTCCTCAGGTCCCTGCCCAGTCGGCTGAGGTCCTTGACGTAGCAGCCCTGGTGGAACACACAAGACTCCCGGAACAGGCGGGCCCGGAACACCCCACACTGGTCCAGGAGGTCTGTCACAGGGTCGGCATACTAGAAAAACAAAAGAAGCCTTAGCTTGGACTCGGTGCTGGATCCCCTCCCTGTGGGTGGTACCTCATCTGCTCTTCCCTCCCACCCTGCTGTCCGGTACCTTGGCCAGACTGGCAGTGAAGAGAACACATTCAAAGAGCTCCCCCATCCGTCTCAGGAACTCATCAACGTAAGGCCTCTTGAGCACATACACCTGGGGAGGCAGAAAGGATGGCTGGAGGTACCCATGAGGCCAGCCGTCCCACTGACACAGAAAAGCCATCAGGCCCAGGAGCCAGGCCAAGGCCCTAGGAACCTCTGCCCCACCATGCATGGCTCCAACCAGGCTTTTGCTGGCTCAACAGGCTCAATCCTAAACTGCCAGGAAGGAATGCATGCCACGTCCCAGGAGCCATCTTCATTCCAGGGGTGAACCATTAGCTGCCTCCAGAAACAAGTAATCAAGAATAGGCCTCACACATGGAAACAGCCTATCCTGGATTACTTGAATCCAGCCACAGCCTTCACAACCGCTTCTGTACTGGCTCCCTGCAGGACCCCGATACTTCCTCAAACACACGTCCTCACAGGGCTTCTGTGAACACCACATAGAGAAGGGCACACGGTGGAGGACCATGCCTGCGTCACTCTGACAGGTTCTTCAGCTGCTCATCCCCCAGTTTACAATCTACTGTGTCCCACCTTCAGCCCACACAAGTGCTCCTCAGGTCTATTTCCTTAGAGCTCTTGTCAATACATCACCCCAGAACAGTGTGTGCCTACCACAATTTCCTCCCAGCCCGAATTAGCCACCAATTCATCAGGAGACCCCTCCCAGTTTAGCAGCAGGAACCCTTCATACAACCGCAAATTGCTCTAATCACCCTGCTACTCCTTAACTTCACAAAGAAGCCCCTTCCTCAATGGTTACTCATCAAACATGACCTCTCAGATCCACACTGGGCAGGCAGCCCTCCCCCACTTAAATTCCACGCCTCTATTAACCACAAGTCCCCTGCATGTAATTTGCCTATTTGAAGGCATGACCCATGAATTCTGTACATTCCTATTTCCTCAACTAGACTGCAAGGGATGATGGGTCTAGCAGAGTACCACAGCTTCGTGGCTCTGGTACAGATAGCCTGAAAAGGGAGATAACGACAAACCCGTGAAAGCCTCAACCTGTACTTTCCCTATGAGTAACTATGTGATCAGTCTGTGAAAACAGGCATTATGTCTGCTATGACATATGTACCAACGGTCCCTGACCCTCAGGCCAACCAGCTGGCCCTCTAAACAAGTTTTTTGAGCATGTGGTCTCTCGGCACCAATGTTACACGATCCTTAGCCCCAGACAGAGCTGGGTATGCATGGCTAGAACTTGGGCAGATGTGTACCTGAGCACTTACAGAACCCAGTGTGAAAATGCAGAGGATAGGAAGTCAGGAAGGAAGGGACTATATATAAGACAGGCCAGGGCAGAGGGGAGGAGCCCTCCAGGTGAGCAACAGCTCTTAGTTTCCTGCCTCTACAAGCAGACACCACTACCAAGGAACAAAACAAAACAAAAAAACTGGGAGGTGGTGGCAGGTAACTCTCTGTGAGTTCAAGGACAGGCTGGTCTACAGGGTGAGTTCCAACACAGTTAAGGCTACACAGAAGAACCCTGTCTCAAAAGACACCACCCCGCCCCAAAAAAAAAACCAAGAGTGACAGCTATAGGGGCTGGAGAGATGGCTCAGAGGTTAAGAGCACAGGCTGCTCTTCCAGAGGTCCTGAGTTCAATTCCCAGCAACCACATGGTGGCTCACAATCATCCGTTATGAGATCTGGTGCCCTCTTCTGGTGTGCAGACATACATGGAAGCAGAATGTTGTATACATAATAAATAAAATCTTTAAAAAAAAAAAAAATTTAAACAGGTTGGGCATAGCGATGCACGCCTTTAATTACAGTGCTTCTGAGGTAGTTGGAGGTTGATCTCAGTGTGTTTGAGTCCAGCCTGGTCTATACAGCAAGTTCCATGACAGCCAGGACTAAATATTAAGAGACTGTTCAAAAAAAAAAAAAAAAAAAAAAAAAGGGAACAGTCCTTACTGTCTGACTACAAAGAAGAGTGGAGTGTAGGCTAGAGTCCAGGGTAGGATGAGAGTCAAGAGTGTCAAACCACTAATCAAATGGGAGACGCTGAACAGAAGGAAAGGTAATAAATAGGTCACTAAGGTATGGCCTGGCAGACAGCTCACCTGGTGAGTGGTCCCCTCAATCTCTACAGGCACTATGAAGTCAGCATTGTTGATTGGCTGGAAATCAGAAGGTAATGGCGTCAGCAGGCAGCAGACAGGAAGCTCCCACCACCCATGGATACAGCCCACTCAGCAGGTCTCAGCCAACACAGGATGAAGTAGCCCCTCCAGTTCTGGTTTTCCCTGCTCCTCAGTGCCCCCTCATCTTTCCAACCTGCCCAGCTCTACCGGAGATAAGTTTCAGTGCTTTAAATTTGAGAGAGGGTCTTGCTACACAACGCAGGCTAGCCTCTAATTCATGTTCCCATGAGTGAAGGACTTACAGGCAGTGTGTGCCTAACTTTCTCAAGACAGGCTCTCACTGAGCAGCACAGGTTATCCTGGATCTTGTGATTTTCCTGCCTCAGTTTCTCAAGCACTGGGATGGTAGAAGTGCCTCTGCACCCAATTTAAGGCTTTCTTGCATTAAGAAACATACTGGTAAGAAAAGCAGAAGTGTTTTTCCATGCTAAGTGGAGACAGACACTGCATGTAGGTAGTGATTTGTGATGGGTGTGTGTGTGCGTGAATGAAGGTTCTTAACACTCTTCAGTGTGGCCTCTGGATATCAGTGACTGGCTCCTTCCCTCCGTCACTTCTGTCTTCACCTGTAGACCACCTCACAGCACCTGTTGTGTAGCTCACAGACAGGTCCTAGGGAAGGAGGGGCCATGTGCTGACTGACCTTAAAGGAACTATGCACAAGGGTTTCATCCAGGTCGATGACCACACAGATCCTCCCTTGATCTTGCTCTGTCACCTCTGGGAGCAGGCAGGTCCCAGGGATCTGAAAGCAGAGGAAGGCGGCTGAGATGTGCCCACCAAGAAGCAAGCTCAACCATTCCCCTCAGCAGAATGCTAGGAAGACCAAGGCTGTCTGGAGACAGTCACAACCTAGGAAGGCCCTGCTTAAAGGCAGAGAACAGAGTCTTTTAACCTTATGGGAATATTTGGTGTCGGGGCTGGTGTGGAATAAACAGCAGAGACAAGAAGAGGGCAGGCGGCTTCCCCTACAGCTTTATAGGGACCCTCAGCAAATACTCAGCACAAATGGCTTCCCAGGGTAGGGAGGTGGTCACCCTGCCTGCCAGGCTAGAGGGCCCAGAGCTGAGTCAGCCAGATCAACATACCTGATAAAACTGGTACTGGAGACATTGCAACAGATCTGACTGTGGGAGAGAAAGGAGGGGATGAATGTCAATAATCAAGCCACTGCTTCTGCCTCTCCAAGACCCAGCCACCTAGCAGCTCCCCTCAGGACAAAAGTGGGCTGTTCTTGGGAGCTGGGCAGGAAAAGGGGAAGGCCTTCTCTCCACAAAGTGTGCACAGGACCTCAGAGACTCTGAGAATGTATGTTTCCTCTCACCTCCTTGGGGCACACGTCATGTGGGAGCATACCAGCATAAAACACGACTGTGGTGCCCGAGAATATGAAGGAGAGTGAATACAGACAGATTACAAAGACAGCACTAAAAATATTATAACCTATACCTTAAGTATTCCTAATGTCAATCTCAAAATGTAAAATTCTAAACTTATTGTCGTTTGAGCATACTTTCACTGTACAGGCTAGCATTTCCCCATGGTAATACACGATTTTTGTTTGTTTGTTTTGAGACATAATATCTGATTTTTACATTCTGATTTAACTGTGCAGATAAGTATCTCTAACTTTATGTATTTTTTTTTTTTTTTTTTTTAGGTATGAATGCTCTGTCTGCCTGCTCTGTCTGCCTGTATGCCTGCAGGCCAGCAGAGGGCACCAGATCTCATTACGGATGGTTATGAGCCGCATGTGGTTGCTGGGAATTGAACTCAGGACCTCTTGAAGAGCAGTCAGTGCTCTTAGCCTTTGAGCTCGCTCTCCAGTCCCCAGGTATTTCTTAATGCTACTATGAAAAATTAAGGAGGAGGGCCTAGGCCTGGCCCAGGATGATGTTGTGGAATTTGGGGCGCCCCCATGGAGGGCTCTACCCTCTATGGGGAGTGGAGGGGGAAGGGGATGATGGGGGGTTGGGGGGGAGAGGTTGAAGGGATTGACATGTGAAATTATAATTTGTAAAAATTAAATAAAAAATAAAATAAAATAAAAAAAGAAAAATTAACCACTTAGTAATACTGTCAGGTTGTATTTACTCAACCATTGCCCCACTGGACAAAAGGGTTCTGCTGATGCTCATATGTATGGCCTGGTTTTGTGGAAACAGCTAGAGATGGTCGTGTCAGAGTCACCACACCACTGGTGTTTAGAGAAGAATCCTATATTGTTTGTTGGAGCTGGAACACTAGCCTTCAAGTCATGGGAAATTAAAAAATAACCACACTGCAGAGCAGTTGGCTTTCTGTGAGTCCAAGGCCAGCCTGGTCTACAGAGTGAGTTCCAGGACAGCCAGGGCTGTTTCACAGAGAAACCCTGTCTCAAAAAACAAAAACAGGGCTGGAGAGATGGCTCAGAGGTTAAGAGCACTGGCTGCTCTTCCAGAGGTCCTGAGTTCAATTCCCAGCAACCACATGGTGGCTCACAGCCATCTGTAATGAGATCTGTTGCCCTTTTCTGGTGTGCAGATATACATGGAAGCAGATGTTGTATAAATAAATAAATAAATAAATAAATAAATAAAATCTTTGAAAAAAATATGAGCCATGTTTTCAAGTGTTCACAGTGGCACAGCTGCAAACTGCTGCCAGCGTTTGTTTGTTGCTGTTTTGTTTTGAGAAAGGCTCTCACTATGTAGCTCAGGCTGGCTTTGAACTCAAGATACACCTGCCTCTGCTTCCTGAGTGCTGGATGCTACTGGGGTTACTAGGGGTGGGGGGGCATGTTTAATGCCTTGGTTTCTACAAAGAAACTCACTTGGAAGGTAGTTTTGAGTACTAGACAATAATAAAACAGGCTTCAGAGCCACTATCCAGTGACTGACATGAGGTACACTTATTACATCCCTGGGCCTCAGTTTCCCTGTCTGCAAGGCATCTTCCAAGGTCCTGGCATCTGTGCTATCTCGACAGCCCACTCCACAGACGACAAGTATCAGAAAGGAGAGACAGGCTACTAAGGGAAGAAAGGAAGGGCCTGTGGGCCAGGGACCTTCATGGCCCCAGACCAGGCCAGAATGCCCATCCCATCCCACTACCTTAGCAATGGTGTTTGTCTCCTCCTTGTATGTGAGCTCAGTGGAAGAGCTTGACTGGCCAACATGCTGGGTATGGAAACAGCAGAAAAGGGTCTTGAAGATGTTCCGGCCACGTGGCTTCTTAGGAGAGGACTTGGAGACTAGGCCTAGAGAAGGAAGAGCAAAGGCATTAGCCACAGGGACATCAGTCTGTCAGTGGCTACCAATGCCCATACCCCCTCAAGTCTGGGCTCTGCTGGAGCACTCTGGGGTTTGGGGTTAGGAAACCTGAGGGGCACAGGGCCTCTCTTCATACTACGGTGGGTGCATGGGCTGGGCACCCGTGCATCAGTGGCAGTGCACCACCACCCATCTAAAGGAACCCACGAGGCCCTAAGTTCTCCTGACCCGGTCTCCAGGAAGACACCAGTTCTAGGAAAGATGACAACCTAGTCACCTTGGAGGCAGTGGCAACAGAACTGAGTCCATGTTGCCTAAAGTCTCAGAAGTTCCTCCAACATGGGTTGGCTGAGTTGTCAGTGGGTAAAGGTGCCACCAAGCTGGACAACCTGAGCTCTACTACATGGTGGGAGGAAAGAAAAGCTACTGCAAACTGCCTAATGTCGCTTGCTGTGCACACAGTGACTTAATAAAGCAAAGGAAATGAAAAAGAATCCCCACAAGCCTCAGCTCCAAGAAGGCGGCACGCTAGTTGTATGTATCCGAGTTTCCTTCTCATTATCTAGCCTTTTTCCCCAATCCTTTACTGTCCACCCACCCACTTCTCCCCTCCCACTCCCACCCGAAAGAGCTGGCTGGAAAACAGATGGATTAAGACCCTGGGCCACACACACATCCTGTAGCCTTCAGTCTTAGGCTAAGGACTCTGCTTTCCAGACCATGGCTGTTCTGTTTTACCTCGGCCATCTGGGCTTTGGAAATACAAAGCCACTTTAAAAAGAAGCTGCCAGCCAGGTGGTGGTGGGGCATGCCTTTAATCCCAGCACTAGGGAGGCAGAGGCAGGCCGATCTCTGTGAGTTCGAGACTAGCCTGGTCTACAAGAGCTAGTTCAAGAACAGCCTCCAAAGCCACAGAGAAAACCTGTCTGGGGGAGAGGGGGAGAGAAGCTGCCAATGCAGCCCCAGAAAGGCTGAACTGATACAAAGCAAAGGGCCCCCACAAGGCCCCGAAGCAATGGGCTTCAGATTTTCCATTGTAAGTTCCCTGACTCCAGAAACTACCTGCTCTGGTAACTGTTCCACAAGGCATGGCTGAGAAGGCATTGTGGCCAGGAGGTGGCGCTATATAACCAGTTATGGAATGGTCTCCAGCCACAGGTCCCTCTTGGGGGAGTCTGAGTGTCCCAGAACCTAGGTGAGACAAACTGAAAAGCAGAGGGCCAACTGTGCAGGCAAATAAGTTCCAGCAATGCCTTTGTGAGGGAAAGCAAAACAAACACAACAAGCCCCTGAGTTTCTCTAGTTCTCAGGGGAAGGGAAACATGGCGGTGGAGGCCACACAGGGGCATTTCTTGCTCCCTCAGCTCCTCCAGAGGTTCCTTAGGGAGTAGGGTCTCAGGCAGCCCAGACACACTCTGACTGGGCTGCCTGAGACCCGGGGAAGAAGAGAGAAACCACACCATTCCCTGGATCCAGGGTCGCTATACAACGGTCACTAAAGTGGGGAGTCAGAAGCAGAGAGCAGAGGACCCCTCCCCTGAAGAGCTAGGGCCTCCCCAGTGGGGGATGCAGAGCTCTCTCCCCCACCCTCTTGGGCTAGGCCACTGGGCACCTCTCCAGAAACAACTAAGCCTTTCTAGGAAATTGCCTGGAAATCTGGACATCACTTTTAAAAAAGTGTGAAGTTAAAAGACAAATTTTTATGTGACTTCCTCCCCCCGTATGTGGATTCCAGGCTGTCAGGCTTGTTGGACAGCACACATTTTACTCCCGGGGCCATCTTGCTGGCCTCTTTGGCATTACTTGCAACCTCTTGGCTACATGTGAAGAACCAAGATTTCTTTGGACATTTTGTCGTGAAGTGCTTCTGCCAAAACCTTCTCAACGACCAAATTCAAAGCTAGGCCCAGTTCAGTGGGATTTGCTGTCTATTCCTTGGAAAGGAGCACTTCCAGACACTTCCTAGTCATCTCTGCAGAAACCATCGGGAAGGGACTGCTTCCCCACCTTCCCCTGCCTCTCAGGGACCCAGGACAGATGCACACACACAGCTCCAAGGCTGAAGCTAACCCTTTCCTTGGTTTATGGTTTCTTCACACACATTCACAACTGGAGGCTTCACCCAGGCAGAGTCTGTCTTAAAAGGCCACACAACCCAGGCTTTCCTGAAGAGAGGCCACATCAGGAATGTGTTCAACATCTTAGTATAGTGACAGGTGCTGTGGATACTGTGGTAAAAGATTCAGCTGGCTGGGGCCACAGAGAGGCCCAATAGACACCAGCTTCCCAGGCCTAAGCAGGGATCTTGAACTCTGAATTTCAAGAGATCACAAGCACAATGACCTTGAGGGTAGGCTCTCAGAGCAAACACCCCACACCCACAACTTTGAGGCTGGCCAATCCCCCTTTCTCTCACAGGCCCTATCTCACAGCATCCTTACTTTTACAAACACTACTCTTGAGGGTCATCAGGGCTGAACTCAGCTTCCCCCAAGATGGCTACTTCCCCTCAGGGCCAACAACTGCCTCCCCTGTTATGTCCAACAGCCTTTGGCCCCTGTCTGGCAGGCACCTGCCACTCCTTCAGCCCCCATTCTCCAGAGAACTGGAGACAGAAAAGCCTCCATATGAGGAAAGGAAGGTGGCATCGAGGAGCTGAGTATCTGGAACAAGCTACCTAAGTCTTTCTGGGCCACAGACATGTTTACAGAGTACAGGAGCCATGCCAGACCTGAATTCTCACTAGGAAATCATTTGTAGGTCTTGTCCTGCCCACCACCCCAATTTGCAGGAGGGAATCTAAAGCATTTAATCAACCTGCAGAGGTACGTGTGCGTGTGCGTGTGTTCAGAATTCAAACCTCAGTCAAGGCTCTTGGGCATTTTCCAACAGTCTCTTGACAGGGACACTGGTGCATTGGCCATGCAGCACTACTAAGCTTGGGCACACACGTGGGTCTCTTCTCTGGAACTTCTGCTCTTCTCTGCTCCAGGATAAAATGGTGAAGGATCAGCTTGGAGCCTCACCCCCTACTTCCTTCAGTATTCTTGGGCAGGTCAGTGAGATACAGAAGGAAACACAAGGCTGAGACTAATACCATTCCCTTACAACCACAAACTTGTGTCAGAGAGCCTTTCCATGGCTCCTTACAGTTCACACTGCACTGGTCCCTGATAGCCAGGCTCAGGGCGTTCTCAAGTGCGTCATGAGGAGGACACCAATGTACCTCCCCAGGAGAGGGACACAGGCAGGCACAAGAGTGCTCAGGGCTGAAGGAATTTTACTGTGCACAGTATCCCTGACAGGGAAGGCAGGATCCCCATGGAAAGCTGCTTAGCCTACTCCCTCTCTCCCACCCCCCCACCATCCGCCACTCCTCCCACACCCTCCCTATGGATCCTGCCTGCTCTACTCACCCTAAACCTTTGGATGTCTAAAAAAAGCAGCAAAGGCACAATGGGGAACCCAACCCTAAGTAGAAGAAAGCAGGGGACAAAAGACTAGAAGCTAGCACCTGCCACCACCCCTCCAACTCAAGGCTGCTAGGTTTCCTACTGAAGCAGACTACGAAGAGAAGCAGCTAGGGAGGTGTCCCTCCACTTTGAACTTTCTGGCTGGGATCCAGGCTCCGCCAGCTACTGATTCAACCATGTAGCCTTGTTTCTTCATCCATAAACGGGGATAGTAGCAAGACCTCACTCAGGATAAACAAAATAAATGAGTATGGCTCTGGACAGGCTCCCAAACTAAAAGCTACACTTATCAGCAACAGCCTGGGCTTGTTTGTAGGCTTCAACATGAATCACTAATCGGAGATGACATGGGTCTCATTCCAGAAACCCAGCAACGGGATAAGGGCCCTCCCACCCCACCATATGGTTGAAGCTCAAGGTCAGATGAGGGGTGAGTGCCTGGGAGAAACCCCCACCCACCTACTCCCCCTATCCACCAAAACTTTCATTCCCACTCCCAGCTCCCCAAAATGGTACCCTCAATGTGACAAATATCATTCCAGCTCCCCCAAATGGTACCCTCAATGTGACCAGCATCACTTGCCATCAACATTGCCCTCTCTCTCCGCACCCACACCTCCACTGCCTCAGTAAACACCCTGTGAAAACCTCTGCCTGTAAGAAGCATGTGTTTGCACACGGGTGCACACGTACAGACGAACCCTGGCCTTACCATGATAACATTATTTTTAACCTCGGAAGGTCAGGTATCACGGTTGCCAGCAGCACAGTTCTGTATCCCAGAAAGGGAGCGCCTCACCTCACAGGAAATGCAAGCAGCCCCAGACTGGGCAGAAGGCAACTCCCTGAGCTATGGGATTTTTAACCAGACCATTAACAAGCAAGGGTGCTTTCTTGGTTCAAGTTCACCACCTCAACACCCCCCAAGTATCCCCCGGCTCTCATCCCCCCACAGCCCAGGGTAGGGCTGGCTCTCACTATAAAATGGCCTCTCTGAGTGGCCTCCCTCCCCTTGGCTATTGGAGGAAAGAGAGTATTTGGAGCATTTCCGGCCCTTCTTGGCCTGCTGCCTGGGCCCTGCAGCCAAGGCACATCTGATTGGGGCTCCCTGTGGAGAGGAGTCCTCCCAAGTTGTCAGCAAGAGGCATCTGTGTCTTGGCTGAGGACAGGCTCCCAAGCTCCAGGTGTATGGAAGGGCTCTTTGGACCAGCAGGCAAGTGGGCAAGGAGACAAAAGAGGGTAAGAGATGCTGAGACAGGCCCACGGGCAGAGAAGACTGCAAACACCAGGAAGGTACATTTCTTCATCTACACGGCCCAACCAGAGATGTGTTCTGCTAATAAGGCAGGCAGGGCAAAAAGCAGATGTGTGAATCTCACTCATGGACAATTTGTGCCACAGGGTCTGGCTCACACTGGCAAGGCCTACACCGGGCTCTGGTAGTCCTTCATCCAAAAGCTTCTCTGTCTCTCACCCCTGGGCAGAAGGTCTCCTCTCTTCCTTCTTTTGTGTGGATGTATTTGAGGCAACCCACGAAGCCTGATACCTTCAAACTCCCGCCTCAGCCTAGGGAGGGGCAGGTGTACATTCCCATGCCCTACTGCAGCCCAGACCTCTCAGGGCCTCTCATCTCAACTTTAGGGAACCTTCCCTCAAGAAGATCTTGGTTATGGGAACAAGGATTCCCAGGCAACTTGATTTCAGAAGGGGCCTCTTGGCAAGAAATATAGGCAGTTTCAATATTAAATAGTTTAAACGTGTATTGGAGTGGGGAAGGTCCCCCAAAATAGCAGCTTCTGGACCAGCAAGGACAAACCTGAAATGCCATTCAAAAAAATGTTAAGGACTGGATCCTACCTTGTAGCACACAGTGCCAGCTAGAGCAGGGGTGACATTGCCTGGTACTGGATGGCAGCCACATTAGCTCCCCCTCCTCCTGAGGAAGCAGAGCAGGCTCATGGGAGGTGGGCTAACAGAAACCAGACAAGTAGGACACAAACACCACCTTGGGGGCAGTTCAGGACTCACCTTGGCTCTCTGCCCCAACTTCTGGAATGCTTGCATTTTGTGGAGAACCAACAAGAGTTGGGCCTCTTCTCTGGGCTCCCTTCTCTGCTTTAGGTTGACAGTCACAGCAGAAGAGTAAGCAGAACCAGGGCAAGGAGTCATAGGATGAATCAGTGAGCAGAAGTGTCTACTCAAGGTGCCACTGGCTGAGAGCAGGGGTGAAGCTCAGCATGTTGGGTCTTCACAAGCAAAAGTTAAATTATTCTGCTTTGGCACAAGTACTACATGTGGTCAGGAGCCTCAGTTTTCCCCATCTGTAAGATGGGAAGAGGACTGCTAACTCAGAAAGTGAGGATATTAAGGGAGGGCTATAGTGTGTCCTGGCCTAATGGAAGCTGCCTGTCAGCCGCCAGGCATCAACAGAGCACTTTCATGTGTACCTCAGCCTCACAATCTTCACATCATGATACCACCGAGACTCATTCCAGAGGCCACGCAGCAGATCCAGCAGGACAGGGACAGGCCTGGGAAATGGCCTTTTCTGGCACTCCACAAAACCTGTTCCTTCCTCAGGTTCTGGCCTCCACAGTTGTGTTCCGCCTCCTTCCATGACCCCTGCTCCTCC